CGCCAGTCTCAGTTTTCCTTTTGCTGACTTGTCGATATCTTTGGCTTTCACTTTATCTCCATGTTGTTTCATGTATACGAAGTAGCTATCTTTTAAAATAAGCCACCTATCGAAATTGAAAGTAAATAAATAAAGACCCGCTATGAATAAAAAAATGAGATTTCATTGAAAATTCAATTTTTATGATCAACTCAACCATAATTTACTTTAAAACCTCAGTAGGTGCAAAACTGTTATTGCAAAACAAAAATCGGTCGAATTGTTTTTGAGTTACAGTTATATAAATTTTAACATTGGAAATAACACGAAACTATTTAAAGGACTAGATAATTGATGCATTGTTAGGCAAAAACTAGAAAACGTTTCTGTGGTGTTTGAATGAACTAATGATTGCTTTGTACTTGTTGAATGTTTGATTTCGAATTCTAAATACAGTACATTCGTTAGTGATTGTGTAGTACTTCTTGATTCAATTGCGTTATCTCTGGGATTCTTAGTTCATACTATGATTCAAATTCTTCTAATTATCATAGTTTCGTAGTCCAACAATTACGAGCTGTACGACAGTTCGACTGAACGATTTTTTAACCACTACTTCGGTTTGATTTATAACCATATTACTTCTCAGTCACCAACATCTAAGAATGTGTAAAGACATATTGACTATGAAGCTCCTGATTATTGATGTCAGTGAATAATATATAAATTCTTATGGTAATAAACGAAGTAAATTTGAAATTAATCAACTCAGAATGCAAATTTTCGGAATTGTTTGAACAATTCAATGTTCAACGAAACAAAAAAGACTTAAGATATTATTTGATCCAAGTAAATGAGACTTGAAAGTGGCACAAAAAACCCTGCGTCAACTCGCTTCCCACAAGTACTACTTAGCGACTATTTTCAAAGCTAAACCGTGGTTATTGAAACTTAGTGTTCAAAAAACAATTACATATTTACTACTGGAAAAATAAAAAAGGATTTGTGTACATGTAGAACACTGATTAATAAGCAGTCGTTGATAACAGCTGGAACAATCAATATTGCACGATATGATCAAATACTTCTATAGTAAATTTAATCAACCTGAGGAAGCTGTTTAAGTTGTTTGAAAGTCTACTAAAACATCTGTGAACATATATCAAGCAGATAATGTTTACAGATAGAATCAAACAGATATCCGGTTGATTTCAACGAAAATAGTGGCTTCAGTGTGAAACCACAGTACTTTTACATCGGTTCTACCAGCTAATGCCGCTGCTAAGACTTTTACACCTTATTCTATCAGTTCATAGTTTCAACTGTCAGATTGTCCTAACCTAACGCTTATTTCATCGTTAATTGTTACCGACTGCTTTCATTAGTAAATTTAAGTTCCTATCGTTTGCTCGCAGATTCGTCGGCCCTCTTTTTCTCTTGTTCTTCTGACTTACTAAATTTCTTGCACTGAAGCACGGCAACGTTTTTTCCTTTAAATATATTTCCGTTTCGGTTTCGATTCTTTCTGTACAAATTTTATCAAATGAACCCACTGGCCATTTAATTATCTTGACTTTTTTGTTAGTTTAACGAGTTTGTCAGACCTAAATGGTATAAAGTATCAATAGACGGCTATAATTTGGTCACCAATGTCTTTAAAAACTACTCAAATATTTTGGAAGGACTAAATACATAGGGGTAAATTCTTATGTGGTGGTGGTTGATGAGACTGTCGATTGTTGTTGACTCAAGAAATCAGGTGTGTAGTATGTGTTTTTAGTCACAACGTATTCCGAAGTCCTGTATTATTCAGCACTGAAATAGGTTGAAAAAATGGTGACATAATATAACTTCAAAAAGACGTTGAAGTTTGGCATCAGACATGAGGGAAGTTGCAGATTTTCTACTTGTGTTTCTGTGGTGCTTGTATGAACTAATGATTCCTTTGTACTTGTTGACTGCTTGATTTCGAACTCCAAATACAACACGTTTGCTCGTGCTTATCTAATACTTCTTGCTTAAATTGTGTTATTCCTGGGATTTTTAGTTCTCAAGCACTCCTAATAATCACAGATTCACAAGGCAAATGTAAACCTTGGTTGAAAAATTCATGTCATGTAATTCGAAATAAGTCGTATTCGTAAACGCAAACCCATTCTATGTATTTTCAGTCTAAAAGCTGTCTCAAACTTTTCATTCATTTAGATCAGACCACTTATTGTACACTTGTCTTTCCGCGAAAATTGATTATATTATCCGGAATTCCCTAATTTCTGTCATTTACTACTACTTCTTTAGAGTAAATACAAAAATTTAAACCGGCACCATTTGAGGTTACTTTTATTGTGCTAGTTTTTAAGATCAAAACTCCATATTCATAGACGTTACCTTTTGGCTAGAAGTTCTAAGTCGCAAAGTAAGGTAATAAAAACTTTCAGACACTCCACGTTCACATTTTATTCACTATGAAAATGTGCATACCTATAATCAGATAGCCTCTCACTATTATCTGAGCTAAAATTATCTATCCAAGGAAACTGCTAAAGGCAATTTATTCGTCAAACAACAAATACAACAATAAAATATGTTTCGCACTGTAAGCTTACTTACCGCTTCTGTAGACAGATTCCTGACACACAACAGCACTTATTAAAGTAATTGTACGATGGCAACTTATTAACAAAATCTTCTTTTAATTTCAAACCACCGGAACAATTCACGAAAGATAGAGGTGATACTTCAAGAAGTCTGAGCTACAATATATTTAAATTTTGAAATCATTTTAGTCTATAACATTAGACATATGTTATAACACGTAAATTAGGGAAGTAATAAAATACTTTATATGGAGTAAGAGATTTTGTAGGGAGTAAAATTATTAGGATTGATATAGCTAGGCAGCTTTCAAGAGGGATTCTTGGACAAGAAAAGAAATCTAAAGTTTACTACAGAGACCAAAACAGGCCTAAATGACATGATTTTTTGGACCGATGACTTGACGACAAATAATGTGATGTTATTTTATGGCCTTCAGTGCTGAAATATTTTATTACAAGTAAACGAAGTTTAGTTTTCGTATAGGTGTACTTCAAAACAGGATAATTATCAGTTCATCGATCTCCTTCCATGTTTTATGTTCGTTGCCAAAATGAGGTGCTGAATAAAAATATAACAGTAAATACTGGCTGAATGGAGGAAGTAATGGCTTAGTACATGATTTCAAATCCTTTTTAACAAAATACACACAGAAAGCATTCTCTAAAACCAACGTATAAGATCAATTATGGTTTTTCATTTCAATTCTAAATCTACTGTTTTGGTGTAAGTACAGTCTTTGTGTATCACAAGAATAATTTGTAAACTATTATTTACCGTGTTTGAATTATAAATATAATAACATTTAGTGTGTACACTGTGCTATCACTTACATGAGAGATCGCCCATTAGTGACGAAGAAAGTAGGTATAAGACTAGTTTGTTCAGCAAAGGGCTGGTCAATTCAAGAGTTTCTTGGAGCATTCTACACGGCTGTTCCTCTGTGTTTGAATCTTGGTGATTGTTTTGCCTTCTTTGTCCCCGGCCGGTACCTCTGATTTTCTATATTTCCCTGATAGTTTCTTCGTCATGTCATATATCTGTTTCATATTTTTTATCTTGCAGCTTTTTCGTCTTTCCTTGCTAGTTCTTTCACATACTTTTACTAGTCAGCTCGAGTGCTCTTCTGCACTTACTTGTTTGCTTATTTGTATACGGCATTTGCCTAGGTTTTCCCTGTTTTTGTTCGACTGTTGTTAATCGCTGTCTCATTGTTCTTCCTTTCTTGAATCTTGTTCAGATTTTTGATTTGGATCCATCCCTAATGATGATACATTCTGCGGCCCAGCACCTCCTGACATGTTGAAATTATTGCTGTTTGGTCCCTCCTCGATTGTCCTCCATAGTAGTTTCCACTTATTTCAATAGATACAGTGGCGCTTGGAGCCCCTGGTCCCTTGGTCTCCCACATTATCGGGACATGCCATGCACATATACCAATATTTGCCCTGGGTTTTAGAGGGAGTATCGACATTGTGACTTCCAAAGAATCTCGGCTGTCACCGTGAGGCGTCATAGTTCTTTGGAATGAAGATCGTCTAACTCGCAGGACAGAGTTAAAATGGCCTGAAATGTTCACTCTGGTTGGCGTTTTTGAAATTGAGAAACAGGATTACTGAAGGAATAAAAGGATATATATGACTAGGATGATCTATTCTTGAGTGGTAGTAGAGTGGAGTATAGTACCGTTACTTGAAGTTTCACAGTATTTTGTGATTCATCTAAAACGTAAATACGGCCTAAGTGAAGATGTGACAAGTGTGAAAGGGTCGTCAATCACATTATTGCGCTGTCAATTTTGTGTAGAATATCAGGTTAATCCATTTAGATGGATGGGCTTAGTATCTCTAAAACGTACTCTTGATTACTGAATTTGAAGTCATTAATTTCAAGTGCAGTGATATCTAGAGTATTTGAAACATTGTTGTTGCAAAGTTTTTCATTTATAACGAACGTTGTTTTGAACATTACATCAAATCCGTTTGAAACGACAGATTGTTCTACTTCGGGAGATCGGCTGAGCGAAATGATGCAATTCCACTCCATACGTGTCCAATTATGTTAATCAATCTAGAATAAACCAAGAGTAAGGGCTTTTCAGGCTAACTCATTGTAGAATGTTCCGTGGTAACTAATGTTATTAGGTTACCCAACGATACTTCGGGGCCTAAGACCGTAGATCTACTACCGGTTAAGAAGAAAACAGTCTGTCCTTAGCCTTATAAACCTGTTATGACCTTGATTTGTCTACCCACTTTTTGGTGCCGAGGATACTTGTCTAATCTAGATTTCGACCTTGATGCGATAGGCTGATCAGCTTAACCTTGAGACTAGTACGCGTGAGTTCGAGATGGGGTAGAGAGAAGAAAACTATTCTGTCACCTGATTGGTGGGTAAGCACACGAATGAGAGAAGACAAGACAACTGGAAGACTACTCGATCTATTTCCCTGACCACTGAACTCACTGGATTTACTGAATTCACTGAATTCAGATTAGTGTAAAAAGGTACATGAATAAATAAGTGAATAACCCGACCGCAACGTACAATAATTAGGAAAAATACAATTATGTCCAAAGCTGGGAATTAGAGTAGAAAATAGGGTGCAAAATAATATGTTTAAATTACAATAGCTTCGGAACAGAAAAAGGTATGGCAGTGAATGATACATCGAACGAAAGCTTATGTTCTGTAGAATAGATTAGGGACAAAAATAAATGTCAATGTTTTACAAGCTTTGAATAAAATGAAATAACGTCCCGAAAAATAGCCTTCGTAGTTTGTCAGGGCTTCTTGTTTCCCGGTTCACATCATCTTCCCCCTTGACAAAAAAAGTGTTATAACTGCCATTCAACTGAGTGCATAAGTGAAACCGGTTTACGTTGCGATCCGTGTAAGCGTGACTAATTTGACCAACTGGAATAAATAAAAAAAAAGAAAATGATTAGTCACTATTTACAAGTAATAGTTAAGATATCATCATTGATATCTCCCCTCAGAAACGTATGCTCTTTTCTTTGGGTCCACTTGTAGAACATCTGGTCTTCTGCGTTTTCGTAACGATCTCCTAATAGGATCTTGTTCCGGATGCACAGTTTTGTGAGTCGTTGAACTTTTAATATCGAAACTGTCCAAGAAGATTTGCCACATTGAACTCAGTTTCTCGGTTTTCTGTGCAGTACCAGAATTTTCCAGTATGTGGTTAACATGACGTGTCCACTTTTGACCTTCAACTTCCACCACATACATTACATTTCCCCGTCTCTTTAGTATGAGTCCACTGGTCCATTGTGGAGGTGAGTATCTGAAATCACGGACGTATACTGTTTGGTTGTTTCGGAAGATTCTATTTTTCGCCCCATGATGGCGATTAAATTGGATTACCATCTTTCGGTTTCTCGTTCCTATGAGATTTCGCTCTGGTTTTATTGCATCGAGAGCAGTTTTAACTTTTCTGCCAAACATAATTTCTGCTGGAGACATTTGATTTGGTGCTGACGGGTTTGGAGTTGTTCTGTAGACAAATAGAAAATCATTAAGAATTTCCTTTATCTTCCCCTCCCCTTTTCCCTTCAGTAGCGCTCTCTTGAAGGTATCCACAAACCTTTCGGCTTGACCATTTGATTGTGGATGATATGGAGGTGAACGAACATGATTGACTCCAAATCTCTTGCAGAAATCTGAGAAGATGGACGAAGTAAACTGAGTGCCGTTATCCGACACAAGGATATTTGGGACTCCAAAACGGGAGAATAACTGCCGTAATTCCATAATAGTGTCTTGCGAAGTGACCTGGTTCATAGGGATAATCTCCGGCCATTTTGAATAAGCATCGACACAAATGAGGAAATATGTACCCTGAAATGGGCCAGCAAAATTAATTTGTACACACGACCAAGGTTTCTTTGGAGATATCTTCGGCATTTGAAAAGGAACAGAAGACTTTGGTGTGGACATAACATTGGCACAAATTACATGAGGTTCTGAAGTTTTACGCGAGCATACTTTGTCTGAGGTATTTGATTTAGAAATATCATCAGGAATTTTGATAGACTCAAAGGAAGCATTTTGAGAACATACCTCATTTAATAATTTATTCAAGGTATCAACCTTCTCAATCCAGTCTAATCCTAATAGATCTAAATCGTGCCGATTTGTAAGATAACAGACATCGGTGAACTTATGTCCCATGAATTTAACGTTGCATGTGACTTCTCCTGTCAACTTCACTATATCTCCTGAAGCATTGCGAGCAACATGTTCTGTTGGTCGGATGCGTGGATATCCCAGATTACGCCATGTGTTTTTGGAAATCAGTGTAACATCAGAAGCAGTGTCCAATTGAAGACGTATGGGTTTTTCATTTACTAATAAGTTTACATACTTCCGCTTACTTTGAAAACCAACTTTGAAGGCTGCGAACGTGCTTTTGATTTGACTCTGTGGTGGTTGCTTCGCATTTCCACTACGACATTTAGACTTACGTTTATTTGATGAGCAATGACCTTCTTTATGACCAATGCGATGACATTTGCGGCATTTGTGATTCTTGAACGGACATAGTTTCGCAAAATGCCATGCTCCGCAGAACCAACATGGTGATGGGGGTTTGACAGAAGGTAGTTGTGTGGTTGTAGTGTTCTGTTTGGACAATTTCGAGGATCTGAGAGCATTAATTGAACCAAAATCGGAAGGTTTAGCCTTCTGTTGCACCATCGCGGTATCATGCTTGAGATTTACCAACCTCTGACACTCGGTTGTGACCATTTGTAGTGTCATATTCGGTTCCTGTTCAATGCGTGCTAACATCCTGGTACGGACATCTGCATCTTCTGCATTCTTTAAACCACATATAAAAATCAAGCATTTGAATTGGTCAGCTGTAATCTCGTTTATTTTGAACAGTTCGCATTCTCGATTTACTTTACCAGCATATGTGAGATAATCATCATCTGGGGATTTCGATATTTGGAAACATCGATAGCGAGTATTAAATAATGAAGATTGTTCGCCGAAAATGTCAGATAAAATTTGGACTGTCTCTTTGAAAGATAAATCTCGTGGATTTCGTGGCAGGATGAAATTCACATATTTGTTGTATTCACGTGTTCCGAGTCTTCTCAGGAGTAGGCGAACTTTAGCTGCGTCATCAAGATTTGAGCATTCCACACGGAATATGTCTTCGCAACGATGAAACCAGGAATTGAAAATGATACCAGATTCAGGATCATAATGGAATTCACAAATAGAATTTGTGATGCATTCATACTTATCTGATTGATAAGTTGTGGATGAATGTAATGACAGCTTCTGCATCAGTGCATCTAAAAGCTTCATTTGATTTGCATCATTTTGCGCTTGCTGAATTTGTAGAATAGTTTTAAGGTCGTCCAAGGATACAGACATTTTGTTCTGGATCAATCAATATAGAAAAAAAATCTCCGTCGCCACTTTGTTATGACCTTGATTTGTCTACCCACTTTTTGGTGCCGAGGATACTTGTCTAATCTAGATTTCGACCTTGATGCGATAGGCTGATCAGCTTAACCTTGAGACTAGTACGCGTGAGTTCGAGATGGGGTAGAGAGAAGAAAACTATTCTGTCACCTGATTGGTGGGCAAGCACACGAATGAGAGAAGACAAGACAACTGGAAGACTACTCGATCTATTTCCCTGACCACTGAACTCACTGGATTTACTGAATTCACTGAATTCAGATTAGTGTAAAAAGGTACATGAATAAATAAGTGAATAACCCGACCGCAACGTACAATAATTAGGAAAAATACAATTATGTCCAAAGCTGGGAATTAGAGTAGAAAATAGGGTGCAAAATAATATGTTTAAATTACAATAGCTTCGGAACAGAAAAAGGTATGGCAGTGAATGATACATCGAACGAAAGCTTATGTTCTGTAGAATAGATTAGGGACAAAAATAAATGTCAATGTTTTACAAGCTTTGAATAAAATGAAATAACGTCCCGAAAAATAGCCTTCGTAGTTTGTCAGGGCTTCTTGTTTCCCGGTTCACATCAAAACCAAAATATGGTATACCACCGATTATGGTTTACGTATCACAAAGATATTATTCCAAGCCGCTGCTGAATCCGTTTAACGTTTCGCACTTAAATTCCAGAGTACTGTGGAATTTGATGTCCTTGACGTAAGATTCATATTTAGGAAGAAACAAACGTGATCTGGTACACCATATTGCAAACAGTGAGTCTGTTCCTTTTTGTGATTACAAGTGTACAATAAGTGGTCTGATCTAAATGAATGAAAAGTTTGAGACAGCTTTTAGACTGAAAATACATAGAATGGGTTTGCGTTTACGAATACGACTTATTTCGAATTACATGACATGAATTTTTCAACCAAGGTTTACATTTGCCTTGTGAATCTGTGATTATTAGGAGTGCTTGAGAACTAAAAATCCCAGGAATAACACAATTTAAGCAAGAAGTATTAGATAAGCACGAGCAAACGTGTTGTATTTGGAGTTCGAAATCAAGCAGTCAACAAGTACAAAGGAATCATTAGTTCATACAAGCACCACAGAAACACAAGTAGAAAATCTGCAACTTCCCTCATGTCTGATGCCAAACTTCAACGTCTTTTTGAAGTTATATTATGTCACCATTTTTTCAACCTATTTCAGTGCTGAATAATACAGGACTTCGGAATACGTTGTGACTAAAAACACATACTACACACCTGATTTCTTGAGTCAACAACAATCGACAGTCTCATCAACCACCACCACATAAGAATTTACCCCTATGTATTTAGTCCTTCCAAAATATTTGAGTAGTTTTTAAAGACATTGGTGACCAAATTATAGCCGTCTATTGATACTTTATACCATTTAGGTCTGACAAACTCGTTAAACTAACAAAAAAAGTCAAGATAATTAAATGGCCAGTGGGTTCATTTGATAAAATTTGTACAGAAAGAATCGAAACCGAAACGGAAATATATTTAAAGGAAAAAACGTTGCCGTGCTTCAGTGCAAGAAATTTAGTAAGTCAGAAGAACAAGAGAAAAAGAGGGCCGACGAATCTGCGAGCAAACGATAGGAACTTAAATTTACTAATGAAAGCAGTCGGTAACAATTAACGATGAAATAAGCGTTAGGTTAGGACAATCTGACAGTTGAAACTATGAACTGATAGAATAAGGTGTAAAAGTCTTAGCAGCGGCATTAGCTGGTAGAACCGATGTAAAAGTACTGTGGTTTCACACTGAAGCCACTATTTTCGTTGAAATCAACCGGATATCTGTTTGATTCTATCTGTAAACATTATCTGCTTGATATATGTTCACAGATGTTTTAGTAGACTTTCAAACAACTTAAACAGCTTCCTCAGGTTGATTAAATTTACTATAGAAGTATTTGATCATATCGTGCAATATTGATTGTTCCAGCTGTTATCAACGACTGCTTATTAATCAGTGTTCTACATGTACACAAATCCTTTTTTATTTTTCCAGTAGTAAATATGTAATTGTTTTTTGAACACTAAGTTTCAATAACCACGGTTTAGCTTTGAAAATAGTCGCTAAGTAGTACTTGTGGGAAGCGAGTTGACGCAGGGTTTTTTGTGCCACTTTCAAGTCTCATTTACTTGGATCAAATAATATCTTAAGTCTTTTTTGTTTCGTTGAACATTGAATTGTTCAAACAATTCCGAAAATTTGCATTCTGAGTTGATTAATTTCAAATTTACTTCGTTTATTACCATAAGAATTTATATATTATTCACTGACATCAATAATCAGGAGCTTCATAGTCAATATGTCTTTACACATTCTTAGATGTTGGTGACTGAGAAGTAATATGGTTATAAATCAAACCGAAGTAGTGGTTAAAAAATCGTTCAGTCGAACTGTCGTACAGCTCGTAATTGTTGGACTACGAAACTATGATAATTAGAAGAATTTGAATCATAGTATGAACTAAGAATCCCAGAGATAACGCAATTGAATCAAGAAGTACTACACAATCACTAACGAATGTACTGTATTTAGAATTCGAAATCAAACATTCAACAAGTACAAAGCAATCATTAGTTCATTCAAACACCACAGAAACGTTTTCTAGTTTTTGCCTAACAATGCATCAATTATCTAGTCCTTTAAATAGTTTCGTGTTATTTCCAATGTTAAAATTTATATAACTGTAACTCAAAAACAATTCGACCGATTTTTGTTTTGCAATAACAGTTTTGCACCTACTGAGGTTTTAAAGTAAATTATGGTTGAGTTGATCATAAAAATTGAATTTTCAATGAAATCTCATTTTTTTATTCATAGCGGGTCTTTATTTATTTACTTTCAATTTCGATAGGTGGCTTATTTTAAAAGATAGCTACTTCGTATACATGAAACAACATGGAGATAAAGTGAAAGCCAAAGATATCGACAAGTCAGCAAAAGGAAAACTGAGACTGGCGTTTTCGATTGAACTCAATGGGAAAAACCGATCATGGCGTTTGTGCAATATATTCTTAATGGACCAAAACTTTGCGTTTAAAACGAGGATAGTAGAGCGATCAGGACAGTGTCAGTTGAAACTGTATAATTCCCTTGGGTAAGCGTTTACTCGACCCCGTGAAAGTTTTCTGAAAACCGCCTGGATCTCTAGATATTTAACCAAGATATCAATTTACTCTACTAGAGCTTGGGAGAAATATGGAGCTAAACGTATTCCACTAAAATACTATTTGTGAAATTACAACCATATGATACAAATCCCACGTGAAATGATAATGATGTAAAGAAGGCTATTTCATATCAAATATGGATGTCCGGTCTCTATAAAAATCCATTTTTTATTAAGATACTGAAGTGATACCTACAAAAGTATTGCTAAATATTGGATGTCTGATTCTGCTAGCCCATTACCATATTCATAGCTTAAGAATTTATCAGGTTATCTTCAGTGAAAATTTGTACGTTACTGATTATATCATTTTCATACACTGGCTGTAAATCCCACAATTTTAAACCTTATTACATGTTAAGAATATAATAACTCACCTCTTAGTACTTGTCAACTTCGTTTGAATAAATATTTGTCAGAATTTTTATTTCCCAAAAGACTCGGAACACTTGCAACTATGGTCCGATTGGCATCAGATTTTGTTGTGAATAAAGCAACATGACATATTTGTTTTGTAGCTTCAACAAACAATTACCGGTCTGAAAATAACGGAATGATTCAAAATACATCATTAACCGATATTTATCTCCAGTCGCATTGACTACGTGTAATAAAGACAGAATTGCTTAATTAAGGTAATTCCGTCTATATTTAGTATTTATGATAATTCCTGACGTAAAATAATATTACTTAAAATGTCTTCGTCAACTGGAAATAATCTGAAGCGAAAACAGCCATTTAGTACATCAGATCAATAAATGATACTTGTTACTTTTTGGTGTAAGAAAACTTTAAGAGATGTTGACATTATAAAATTCGATGTTTGATGGAATGTGTAAGTGTACCCTCCTCCTAGTTTACTTATGCTCTTTCTCAATTTGTTCACAGTTAATTGCCATGTCTTATTGGTGAGTTTAAGCGAATCTCAAAAGTTTCAGTGGACTGATTTACAGCAATTCTTTCATCTCTGAAGCCATTTGTAAAAAGAGTAAAGCACCTTAATTTTCTCTTTGTTAGAAAGCTAATAAATGTCATGGTCTGTTATTATTCATAATGACTTAATAACATGGGTTTGTTTGTTGTTGTTTTATGTCAAAGCGAGTTAGTTGTCATTTGTCAATCAGATGATCGAATGAATGATTGGAACAAAGTACTTTCATCACACATTTATAAAGACGGTACAAGAGATTTCATACAATACAATCGTTTCGGATCATATGCCCCTCCGAGGTCTGATACACAAATATGCATGTAAGTTTATTATTTAAGCAAGTTCAGCAAAATGATACTTGTCAGTATAGGATTTTGGAGATCGGTGAGTTTTAATTGAGATCATGAACAGATTATCGTTAGACCAACACTGAAAACCCGGAAGCACAGGATTGCCCTTTCGTCCTATTATGGAATTCCACTGTAGTGCGGACCCAAGATCTTGCACCCGGGACTCTAACCTGGGACATTCAGTCTTGCGCGCGAACCATAACCGTAACCAATCGAGTTCAAGCGTGTCGACTGTGAGGCATTTACCCACCAATGACAATTGAAAATGGTCGCTCAATATTGTGGATTGGTTGGAGTTAGATATTAACACCGTTGGATGGCGGCTCAGTGGTCTTGAGGTTAGATGTTTGCTCGAGACCGAAGGTTCCGGTTCGAGTCCTATGTGCAGGATCATGGATACGCACAGGTGGGAAGTCCTACACTAAGACTAGACGGCCATCCAATGCTTCTGGGCTTTCAATGGTAGTCTAACGATGGTCGGTTCATGATCTCAATTAAAATGATACCTGCTTTGACTTAACATGAAAAGTGCTTTTGAATACAGTTTACTAATGATGGCCTAAAAGCTAGTGAATTCTAGATTTGACTTACTATTTTTGTGCTAAATTTTTCATATAATTAATTTCGCAACATCATTCTATCAATTGAACATCAGGAAACTGGCAATTGAAGTCTTTTTTTTAATTTAAATTGTCTTTCCTCGAAACTCAAGAAAAAATATATGTAATGAACACAAAGATTAAAATAACTGAATGCTTTTCTTGAATTCAACACGGAGAACAACAACCCACCCTCACTTGATGGCGAAGCCCTGGAAGAGGTGGAAACTACCACGTCTCTGGGTAGCACGATCGATGAACAAGGAAGATCCGATGCAGGTGTGCAGGCGAGGATTGGCAAATCAACAGCCGCACTCCTACAGTTGAAGAACATATGGAACTCAAAACTACTGTCAACCAATATCAAAAGTGAGAATCTGTACTGGAATGAAACTTCGGGAACTACCTCAACCATGATCAAGAAATTACAGGTATTTATAAAGAATTGTCTACGTTAGATACCGAATGTGTGTTGGTCGGATACAATCAGCAACGACCTACTGTGGTAGAGAACAAAGCACCTTCCGACCGAAGAGGAAATTAGGATACACATTGAGGAAATCATCCAGTTGAATCACGAGGAAAGCCCTGACTTAAAGTCCGGAAGGGAGAATAAACCGTTGAAGACCAGAGAATAGATTGCATCGATAATTGGAAGCAGACATGGAAAGAATGAATATTAACTGGAAAGTACTAGAAAGTAATGTCCAGGACAGAGTTGGATGATGAATACTGGTGAGCAGCCTGTGCTCCACGCGCGGGTTAATTGGCGTTAGTGAGTGAGGGCGTCACTTTCGTAAACACATATTCCTTCATTCAGAGGAGACATTTTTAACACAAATGCTTTTTCTCAATTATAAAACTTTATCTAACATTAGATTCCCCAAGAGTGAAGCTTGTAATTCAATCCATAAATACAGAGTTTTTGAATTTCATTTGTCATTTTCTTGTGCAAAACTCAATTCGCTAATTCAAACGATACTTTATATAATTTAATATAGAGGTTTCCTATTTTCCTCTGTCAAATAAAGGTTTATAGATGGGGCTTGTTATATGGAAGCTGTGGCTAAAGCAATTTCTCAAGCGCAACACGAAGTTTTTATTACTGACTGGTGTATGCATCCAACTGTTTTTCTTAGACGACCAGTACGAGATAACACATGGCGCTTAGATATGCTGCTTCACGCAAAGGCAGTAAGTTGTTAAGTTTCCGTATTTCCATCTAAACTAGATTGTTATTTGATTGTGATGATAAGGATAAAATCAAATATTTTTTTTGTTAAAGTTTGTCACGGATAAGATCGTTGGTATATTCTCTTTTAAGCTGTTTGATAAAGTATTCAACTGATGAGTTAGAGAATCTTCAGACCCTAGTGCATGGAGTTGTGCTGAGTTGATTATCGTAAATTTATCACCATTAGCCTTTCTTAACTCAGCATCATTCAGAAACTTACTGCTCTTTCCATTTATTTACCCAGGTTTGAACACAACACGTAGTGAATATAAGGTACTTAGCTAGCAATTACTGTTTGAGTAACGATCTCCAGTGTGCCGAAATATGTGTTGTCGTCCACGATTATTGTTTCTTGAGGGAATAATTTATTCTAATTTTTCACAGGATGAGCTGCTTAAGCTTGTTTACACTTGAGAGGACATTTTCAAGAGGGTTTATTCGTATTCTTCATTTGAAACTATCCGAATTCGAGTCAGTGCTATGAAAATTTTCCGGGCTCAAAACAGCCAGGAGATTTAAGTTGTGGGCTGGCCTCCGTGGAATTTTCATTACAGAGTCTTGAGATAAATCCTTAAAGGTTCATAATATAATGGATATATTTTAGAAGATGCACGTGCATATTGGCTAGTGATTAGATTTATTTTTTTATTTTTTCCTTCAACATCCTAACTCTCATTCACACTACCGTTCTGAAGTAATATTTCCCTAGTTCTTGCTAAAATTAAGATATATGTGTATGCACTAAATCGTTATGGATGTTGAACGCACTAAAATAACTTTTTATATCACGCTATCACTTTATATTATCTGATGTGTAATGGTTTACAAGGAACTAACACATAAATTGTTTGAAATATCATATTGCATTTCTGATACATTCCACTTTCTGCGACAACTTTCGCCATTGGAGTAATAATAAAACGGTACATCTTGTACAGACGAATATTTTTTATAGCCACATTATATTGATGTCACTGTATTCGCTTTTCAAGAGATTATTTTTCAGCTAGATGTTTACTGAAGAACTTGACATACAAGCGTATATAATACAATACCTTGTTCCATATAAATTATTAGTTAGCTTTTTCACTTCGTTTTTCTTAATTTAATTAGAAGTTTTTGTGTACAAACTGCTTCAATATAGACGCAGGAACAACCTTTAGTCCCTTTTTATTTTACATCTGATTTATTTAAAACAAGTATTTATATTAATTAGTGATCTGATGACCAGACTGATTTCTTCCAGTTTCTTCAGTTAAAAACACAACCAACTTTTCAGCCAGCAAAATGTGTTTTATTTATTTATGAAATCATATCAAGAGATACAGTTTGCATGGATTGTACCACCTCATAAACATGCAGTTAAAGATGGTATTGTTAAGTTATATGACTTATGCACTCACAATCATCTGGAGAGTGCACCTAGTGCATTCACTATTTCGTTCAGAAAACATTTTGAAATCCAGCGTGAAGAAGCAGGAAAAATATTAGTATAGGTCACCAAACCAGACCGTTATTGACATTTTTATAAGAAAACTTGCTGATTAGGTTATTTTCTGACTGTGGTCTAGGAGACAAATTATATGGTAGTAAAAATAAATGGTTGGTAGAAATATAATGAACCCTTTAGCTTACTTTAATCGGATCTCATGTTTTTGGGATCAATTTCCGACTACTAGGATTGCTTATCGACTTGGAATGTACAATCAATATAGTTCTGTTTAGTAAACACTCGTTTTATATTGTTTTCCGATCGCTCTGACATGCAAGGTAATAATGTTTGAGTTATATACCCTCTTTAAATACAAAATGTAGCTTCGTGACTGGTCTGAATCATGAAGAGTCAAGAAATTAAGGGTGCTATACACTTCAATTGTCTTTAAATTCTCATCATCACTGGTGGGTTCGTGGCCAACGGTCTCTGGACGAATTTGTAAAGTTAGGTTGGCTTTCGGAAATTTGCATAACTTGTAACTTAGGAGCGTTATTCATTAGAAGTCCTCTATGTGTGTGAAACACGGCCATTGAAAGTAAGAGATTTTCATGTGTTACTAGTATTTGATCACGAATACATTTGAAAAGTTACTTGTAGAACGACTGAGTGAGTAATGGTAAGATTAGACATAGAGGCAAAATGAAAAATCGGTTGACAATGTTATGAAGCCCTATCGGCCAAGGTTGTTTGGGTATTTGTCGCGTCTGCTCAGCCACTGCTTTCTTCAATGCTCCATGTTAGAAGAAAGCTAGTGGTGGTAAGACCAATACATACCGTCAGTCCATAAAGCTTTTGACTGTTGGTTGGAGTCATGTTGACTTGCATAGACTATCTGATTGAGAAACGTTAGATAACTGATGTCAGTGACTGTAGACGTTTGATAACTTCACTCGGAATTGATCTCAGTAGCGCAGATATACTCACACTATATCTTTCTAAATCTTTGATTTCAGCATTTCTTCATACATGCCTCTTCATTCCGTTTTAAAAAACCAAATTCTCAATGTTTAGCGTCTCTCATTATCACTGCCACCACCTTATTTCAATTTTTTCATTATGAATCTTTTTAAATCCACCTCATTGTGCCAATGTGGTACGATACTTTGGGCCAACACATATATATCCTAGGCCTTGCGTTAATTATAACTGAATGAATGTGTTTCATACTACAATATGTATCTTCAAAAAAATATTTAATTTACTAATCTCAAGTGAGCAAATGATGTAGAACTATATGACTAGTGTTAACGTTTCATGTGTTTATATACTAAATTGTCAGTTTAGATAGGTTTTATAAAGACTTCTGAGATTCTTTAGAACAGCTATCTGTGAATGTCAAGAAGCTATCTCTTAACGAGCAGTAATGATGCTGTCAAAATTAATAGTTCTTAAGATAAAGTGCCGTGCAAAAGTATATCAGGGTCACTAGTATTAAGATAGTCACGATTACACACAACATTGTTGCACTGGTATCTGGCTTTACATTCATGTCATCATTTGCAAACACCGTTAGATTTGATTAAAGCATCATTGAAAAACCATAAATAAATAATATATTTGTAATATCCCAATGTGTAGAAAATTATATTTTCTGACGTTTCGTGACTTAGTTTAAGTCACTTTTTCAGAGATAAATCATGTTAATTTATTTACAACTTATTTATTTAAAGTTTATTTCTGGTGTTTATACGGAAATAAGAGCTGTTTTAAATAAGCTTGTATTTTTGGTAAAACGTTCTTATTTTATTTAATCGAATAAGATAATGAAGAGCACATTCTGTACCAAATTTTGCTAATACTATGTTTTTAATGTGTGTCTGTTAGCTCACTTTTTTAAAGTAAGAAATGGTATTTGTGTATTGTTATAATCAATATACATATATAAACATCAGGATCTTAATAGAGGACTCATTATTAACTTCCTTCTTTATCCAATGCTTACGAAATTTAGTCTACTAGATTCTAAAATGGATATAGAAAGTTGGCGTTGAAAATGTAATGGTTTGGACTCTATTCGTCTTTCGATATTTAAATCAATCTGTTCTCACTCTGTAGTTTTTTCACTTGCTACACATCCATTCGTTTCAAGGTATAAATGATTTTAGATTAACTTCTGCCAAACCACTATGTCAATAATAATAACAACTTTCAATCGTAAATAATAAAGGTTATATTCTACTAATTTTGTTCAGAAACTTAAATCTACTTCTGAATTCTGATTGCATATTCGATCCCAAAAACGTTACATGGTCATAAATCATTGTTTGAACTACATAGTTTTGTGTAGAAGAAGAGTTCAAATTGAGACTTTATTTGAACAGGCTGCTGCTACTTCTAGATGTTTATAACCGTTCAGTACTAAAAAAATGTGTCACAATATTTAACTGTAGAGCTGAGTGGCAGAAACTACTTCTTAAAACTTTTTCAATAATACAGACACTACAGTATTGGATTTGACTTGTGAACATTCACAAAATACTTTCATATTGACGTCCACAATCATAATTGTTTTACAATTGTCAAGATATTTATTTGTGAAAACATTTTCTGTAGTTTTTGACTCAAATAACATTTTTATTAACTGTACAACGTTTTTATACAGAAACAAGGAGTTAAAATATATATAATGCTTTACAAGGAAAGTGAGCTCGCCGTTAAGTTTCGAAGTATAAAAGTAAAGCGTTGGCTTCGATCTCTTCATTCAAACATATATGTAGGTTTATATATTTTTTAATGAAATTTTATCTACCAATATTTTCTAAGAAAATTTTGATGTCATTTATAATAATATATTATGCGGAAATAACATATGATACTAAACGTAAATTTCATAGCTAAGTGAAAGCAAAAATTGCATAAAAAAGCTAAAATGTTAAATTAAATTAAATGATTTATTATTAGTAAACCTACTTCACTTATCTACAGTTAGATATTATTTTAGAATAAATACAAAAATCTCTGTCTCTTGGTAATTATTTAATAAAGCCTAAAGCATGTAGTTTCTTTGATAATTGATTCATCTAACAATAGTGTTGATACAAACTGTCAGTATAAAGAATAAAATACGAACAGTCAGTTTAGTTTCAGTGTTCGTAGTAATCTTCTTGTCACTATTTAGCGCACTGTTCAAGATCCACTACTTGTCATTTCTTAAATAAATTATTCTGTGATATTTAGAGTGATGATCCCGTCCAATTAGTGTTGACAATTCGTGATCGCTCAATAGCACTTATCAATAATGAACTCATAAAAATAATTCTATCATGTTCTACATCGGGTTTTAAAGAAATGATAATTTTCACTAAATTATTTCGAAATTCAAGTTTTTGTAATAGCAGCTTGATAAGGATTGTTTTCACTCTGACTTTAATTATATTACTCCCTGTAATTTCAGACTTTATGAAGTTATTAAGAAGGATGGAAATAGACTAGTGAATTCAATGTATTCTTCAAGCCTTGTATTTTTTGTTTAAATTTATTTAACAAACCAATTGCATATGAATGTTAGTGATTTATTTTTTATCCTCACTGTAACATCAACAAGAAAATCCAGCAAACAGATATATTTTCAATAAATTCGTCTTAAAGATGTACAATCGTCTATGAATAGTTTATTCCAAGGGTTTACTTTTGTGGAGCAGATTACCGAAGTGTATTTGTTCACTTTTTTTAATTTGACTCTTTTTTCTCAACGAAGATATACCGTTCTCCACGATCTACACGCTTATGGAGTCATCATGAGAAAATGGTCGCTGTCGATCAATCAATAGTTTTTCTTGGTGGAATTGATCTGTGCTTTGGTCGATGGGACACCAATAATCACAGGTGAGATATAGATTGAAATCAGTGTCCTACTACTTTTTTATAATTTGGATTTTACAATAATTTTTCGTAGAAATTATAACTAATGCTATTATTTCTCGAGAATGAATTTTCTTCGGTTTCATGTTAACGACAATCTTTATCAAAATATTGAATTCCTAAATTGAAAAACATATTGCGTCATTGGTCTTTTGAAACTGTCAGATTTCGCATTATATGACTTTCATAATGCTCATTTGAGACCTTAGAAACGAATTACAAGATATACACATCGTTTTACATGTAGTAATCAAGGAAGGTTTTGGTCTATTATTTCATTCAAGCAAAAAGTTTCATCCCAACCTTAGCAGTATTTTGCCTGAAACTTCAAATCCTCACAAACTTGAGTTCACGAAGTTAATCAGCCTTGATTTATTCGTCCTTTTATGATATTTTAATATTATTTAACATTTCCTTTTGAAAAAACTACCTTACCTTATACCATCAAAAAGGAAATAATAATCTTTACTGTCTTTTTGTTCAACAATCCTCTATTTATGTAAAAATAGCTAGAAATAGTTGCTTTCGAGCTACTACATTCAGCTCAAACAATTATTTTGGAGTCAGCGCATCCTATGCTAGGGTACTTTCAATGATTCTAATGCCATTTAATATTTTGCGATATGTATTGTACAACAAGTTTGAACTTTAGCTGAGTTCTAAAACAATATAGGCTAATGCTACCAATGTTAATCAAGAACAGTACTCTTAATAAGCTAATAATTTTCAAACAGAAATTCATCAGTGAATTTCGATTTTTTATACCCACTTACTGATACCCGTAAGACAAGTGGAACACATAGTATACTATCAATTTTAATCTTAGTATAAAAAAGTTAAAAGTTGTTGAGTGATATTGTATTCAATATACTTGCACGTTCAGCATTAGAGAGAAAATACAGAAAGATGTTTTTTTAATTTTTTCTTATGCGTACTATTTATATTAGTTGTATGTTCTAATTTCATACATTAACAGCAATAAAAATTACGTGGGGAGCTTATCTGTTCATACTTAAGAAAACATATGATTCATAAATTGTAACAATGTTTAAATTTCATTTTGTGACTATTTCTAATGGAAACTGCATCACAATTTAACAAAAATCGAGTAAATTTAAGATTAAGCGACTATATACTGTAGGCATTTATAGATAACTAACTGGAAAATTTTTGAAAATAATTCTCTTAAAATTATTTGAAAATGTAGTAAACTGCCTTTATTTTTCTTCTTCAGACATTTTTTCATACCATAAGAAAAGAGGTCTTAAGTATCAGCTATTGTTAAGCCTTTTATTTGTATAATGTGACAAAAATTCCATATTACTAGTCAGATGATTTTGTGAAAAAACTGAATTTTACTGTTTTGTGAAGATTTTTATGTCATTTATTGAGAAATTATGAGTTTTCCGAATTGGATTAGTAAAGATATATAACCAGCTAAAGCTTAGGTAATTTTTTTCTTTTTCAATTCACATTCTTATCTGTTCTTCAAAAGATTTGGTTATCTAGAGTAATATAAATACTGATTATTTTTAAACGGAATCTTCTTGTGTTTTTATAGAAAACAACTTAAATCATTCTAATGGATGAATTTTGCATTTTGTTTCTGTTACTGTCTGCTACCTTGATTTGGCCTCATGATGTTGTTCAGAAGAACAATGATGGCGTCACGATTAAGCCATTCAGCTTAAAGAACAAAAATCCACTAAGATCATCAACCTGATCTACAAATCCATACTGTTATAATTTATTTCTACATTTATCGATGTACAAAATATGAACATGTTTAAAACATGTTTAAAATTTAATTAGATGCATATCTTTAATAGTTGAAACCCGTTCTAACGATTAGTAAACTTTTTCAAAAAAAAACGATCAAAATATCAATTTATTTTGATTTTGCTTCGTCTTAAGATAGGTGTCTTGACCAAATGTTTTATTGAGTCACCTGAAAAATATCTTTTTCAACGACCTTGAAGCTCAGACATGTTATTAGACATTATTTACTCGTTTTTCTTTTGTTTTAGTACTAATTCCTTGTATGTACTTTATAACGTAATGGAAACTTATTTTTTAATATTAAAGAATCTGTGTAGATAAGAACATTCATGTGAATCACAGTTTCCATTATAAAGGTTTAAATAAACGATATTTTTGATGGCATCCCATTAGTCTGGGAAGTGTACTTCAACAGATGAGTTTTGAAAATATTAGTGACATTTTTTAGCGAACAAATACCTTAACTTTGGAAGCACTTTGATTCATGAAGATGAATAATCTGGGTTTATCAAGTACTCTTATTCGTTTTACTGTGAAAATATATCGAGTCTTTATATCACTACTAATTTATTATTTGCATTGTGACTGTTTATATTGCTAATGTTTATACATTAGGTGAATAAATACATTTGTGTTGGTCATCATAAAATATTTTTCTAGAGGAAGCAATGATCAAAGTAATTGATTTAGAAGCTAAGTAAAACTTTCCAGTAAAATCATACCAACCCTAAACAAAGGCGAAAATTTTGTTAAACATAATAAGAAACATGTTATTGCAAAAGTTTTTATCAACATTACAATTTTGCAAAATACTTTCATGCAAGTATGATTTCTATGAACCGGAATTATTTTTAAGACAGAACAAAGTATATACATTAGTTGCGAACGTCAACTCACCAGTATACAGTTCAGGGTGTGACTGATACCAGAAAGAAGTATAAACAGTTCCTTTGAAAAATTATTACTTTAAACGGCTAACAGTGTCAGCAACCTACTTAGGACCATTTCTATCAGCATGCGATACCTTGAGTAAAATAGTTTTATAGGATAGTTTTTATTATCTAATGTTTTTAAGCTAAATTAACCATGTCATGAATAATACTTTATACATCTTTACAGTATGAACATGTTTTTCGAAATGTACTACGATTGAGGTATTCAGTTTACTAATAAGATAGAATAGTTTATTGTGACATAAAAGTTTTGAATAAAATCTCTTTTATGGTATTACATCCTTGTCAAGTATTCCTTGCCTCTTAGTACTTAAATACTCATCTTAATTGAGATGGTAAAGGAAATTTGTAACTTTGGAGTTTCGTTCTTTGAGATGGATGGTATGGTCGTGGAGCTTTCATTATTATTCTGAATCACAGTAACACAAACTTCAGGCAGAAGTAAAGTATTTCACCACATATGACTAACTGCTTGTCCTGTCGACCTCAACCTTTATCGGTTATTGTTGACCTTCAACCTATCATTATCTGCCTCTATTTTGATTGTATGTCTCATTGATTTGATTCCTGCTCCAATATTTATCCATAACTTTCCCGATTGGTTGATAGATTGAATAGATTTTGATGTGTTCGTTGATTGGTGATTGACAAAAGTGCCAAGCCCATAAAAATTCCTTGGTACTTTCAGAATTCCCTCTGTCCAAGATCTCAACATTTTTCCAATCGAATGTGTGTACACACACATCCGATTTATCCAGAGAAATTTCAAGATTACTGAAACATTTGGTGTACTCATTCAATCACTCCATTAAATCATCTATACAATTCTTGGGTAAGGTTAATAAGGTTGAAACCAATAACGACGATTTGACGATCTCGTTTGACGTAAAAGTCTTATTCACCGCAACGAAACCAAGCTTGGCAAAGGAAACTTTGTCCCTTCTCTTCACCATCGATATAAATCTCCCAAAGTGTATGGTGCTTTAAAGTCAAAGTCCATCAAAACTTATCGATTTATGCTTAACAACGTATTTCCGATTCAACAACCAAATCTACCAACAGATAAAAGGAATACCAATCAGACCAACAATATCAGAACTTATTGCAAAAACAGTTGTTCAGAGTCTGGAGGCCTCGACTTTACCAGTGATCAAACCAAAAATGCGGATTCTTTATGTGGATGACATGTTCATCGTCATCAAGACGGAAGAGTTGAAAAATACGTACAAACTGATCAACAACGTCTTTGATATAAAATTCACAATCGAAAATCAGTCGAACAACAAGCCATTATTCGTGAACGTCTTGGTTACTATAACTGACACAGGAAAACTGAAAACTCCAGTATATCGGGAGCCAACCCATGCGGCAGTAATAACTCAAGAACTCGAAAAATCAACTGCGTAGAAACCCTAACAAAGAGAACAAAAACACACTAAAGCACACTTGTAGCGCAAAAAATTGAAGAAAATACTTGGTGAATATACTTCAGAAGATCGACCTCTCAATCAACTTCATCAAGAAATATCAGCCCAGCTTATCAGCAGAAACGAATTCGAGAAACCAGTAAATGAATTATCCTACTACATATGGCAAACATATCAGGAATTAAAACGGGAGTATTGAAGCCGTTGAGAATAAATGTAGCCCACAAGTCAGCAAATCAGCCAATTATATTGATAGTTTGTTATTCTTTTTTCATTTCTGAGTGGCAATAATGGATCGGTTTATGATTGGAGTTGTTGCTCAATGATGCCATTTTGAATCTTTATCTTTCCTAGTAACTAAACTCATTGAACAAGCTATGAGAAAAGTTTCTGGGACTTCATGGAAATACAGTCTATTTTCTGTAAATCTGCTCAGTCAACTAGGTTTCTTTGAAGCTAGTTCTTAAAACATTTGCACATAGTTAGAGATTTCCATCATCTACACAATGAGTTTCTTGTTGTTTTTCAACAGTTATTTTGACGTCCAAGCTTATAGGATCTCTGAACGAAACGTTAGAAACAAGAATGAGAAATGTGGTTCAAAACATGCAGCATATTTAACTTTAATTGCAGATTTAGTTGTATTTACTCTGATTTAAAATGTCAAATCACATTTCTGAATGCGATCAATTTAATATTTTTAGTGTAAGGTCCAAAATAATATGTGTGACTAAGATAAGTAATGAAGAGTTGGATTTTCGGGTAATTGTTAAAATATGGTAAAGTCAAGATATGGCTTAGCAGTATAGATAACTAGTATGTGCGGCTGTGAGAAACAAGTACACCAGTCGTATTTAAAAATATGTCATTCATTTTTAATTCAAGTAACAGGAAAGCAGTTAGTTTTGTGTTGGTAATTTGTATATATTTGCTACGAAAGATGTATCTTGAAGAAATTTATATATATGCCAAATTATTTAGTATTAGAGATAAACTTATATATTTATTTTAAATCTTATAAAAATAATTAATTTATTCTTTGTCTTTTTGTATGATTTTTATAAGTAATGTTAGTTTGTAGATTTAACTTTACTTAAATTATTTATTTAGTTTACTTATTCTTGATAAACCAAGTTGATTTCATACCAATTAGAAGGGGTTATTGTTTCAGTAATTTATCGATTTTGTGATAAATATTTACAGGCTGAATATACAGCTCTGTATGCTTATGGATTCTGAAATTAAAACAATTCAAGTGTATGAGATTCTATGTGTGTAATGTTTTATAAACCGCATGAATACAAACTCGAGATATTGGCTGTGATCACTAACTTATTGTGACACCGACTCTCGCCTCACTGTTGATAAGTAAGCGATATAGATCATAGTATATGTTATGATTTATGGGATTACTTCCACTCTAGTGCCTAAAAAAATTTTTAGCATTCTGTCTTCATAATTAGTCTGCTTGGCTCATGAAATAAAAGACACCCATAGTGCAATTTATTTTGGTGTTTATCAAGCCTACATGGAAAAATAACTGGAATAAAGTTCTGTCCTACAGCATAATGTTAAAAATATTGTTTGAGACACAAATATCGTAATTTTTCTTGGCCAGTCGGGATGAATTTCATTGTGAATCAGAATTCATCAAGCTCCTTAATATTTCAGTGGCAGATGAATCCATTTTTACTAAAATCTTTGTGAGAGTTGTAAAAATTGGACACGAAAAGTGAATTTTATTTTTTCCGAAGCAAGACTTACCATTTTATTATTAACTATCAATATGGCCTGTTTTTATTTGTCCAAGTAACAAACAACAGCGTTATTTAATAACTGCAATTGTTAGGTAAGGGTCAATGTCTGACGTCTAAGTGAGGAAACCTGACTTTTATTTCAATGGACATGGGATGTACTCACTAAATACAGTTTGTTAATAATAGTGATCTAATTCTTTTAGACCATTCATTAGTATCTGAAACATTTTCCATTGGTATGTTTGGCAATTAAGCCAATATTCACAAATTATTTAATTTGTTAAATTTTGTTTAACGAAATAGTTGGTGTTTATAATAGTCAATAGTAATAGAGTTTGACTAGTAGCAGGCCAACTTATAAAAGAACTAAAAGGATTTATTTCAGTCACCGAATGTTCATAAACCAGTTATCTCATCGAGACACATAGTGACTTAGTAAAGATGCCAAGTTCGCTTTATTCTAATACTATACAAAAATAGTAAGGCCGTTCCACCATAACATACACAATTCGATTAAAAAATTCTCGATATCAAACGCTGGAAAAAAGTAACATTAGTAAGCTATGATGTGACAAATGCCTAGATTCTACTAATGATATACTAAAGAATGATCATAAACTATCAATCGTACGTCTATTTGAATTATTAGTTGAAATCTCTCTTCAAAATCAAAAACATGCTGTGTGTCTCCGTGACGTGTATTTAATGTTTATTGTACATTTGTCAGATAAACCATGATGTACTACTACGTATCAATGAAAGTTTAAATTTCTTGAATATAATCACGCAATTAAATATGTTGCTTCTCCACAGTTATTGTAATCTTTTTTCTAGGTTACAGGATGTTCACAAAATTGCTAAAGTTCAGGAGGTCAATGCAGAATTAAGAGTAAGTTGAAGAATTTACTTTCAGGATAGCTAAAAGTTAAAACCTTTCTTGTCTTCAAAGTGCTTCTTAACATGACTGTGTTTATGTGCATGTGTTTCGATTGCCTTGAAATGTATATTCATCTTAAAGTCAATTATTTTCAGTTTCCGCTTCAATTCAAGCGATTCTTTTTACGTACTGTTTTTTATTTTGTGGTTCCATCGCCAAATACAGGTATTTTGCGGCTGTCTTGCATTATGAACAAATGATTTCAAATTTAATTTCAAAACAAGAATTAGTAATTATTTCACAAAGGATGCCTGATTTTTAGAAGCTGCAAAATAAATAACTGATGAAAACAAACGCAAAATGTCAGTATTATATCAAAAACTAATATCATTAATTAATCATTGTACAGTAATCAGTGTCAAATTTAACTAGTTCTTAGTGGTGATTGCATTCTGTCTACGGTGGTGTGGTCAGTGTACTTAACAGTCATGATCAGATTTCAAAAAGCAGATTTTCGATACTAGGAATGACATTGTATTTATGGTTGTAATTTTAAATACACAATTAGATCTACTCATGTTAAACAAAGTTATATCACGGTAAATGAATCATTTTAACGCGCCTATCCTACAATAAAGTTCTATACCGAATGTCATTCACACGACCCCGGCGTAAAATTATTTGTTTTAAAACCCATTCTTCATTACATGATATGCATTTATTATTATAGCAGGCTTTAAAAAAGCTTCTTAGTTCAGGAGTATGACTTTCTCTCTACCGACATATTCATATGATGTGATGCAAACACCACATAATTTTCAGTTTGTTACTCAGAACCTTCCAATCATTTTGGCACATTAATCGTATATCTGGATGATGTGAAATGAATGTCCTGTGTTGAAGATCAGAGTCAGTGATCTGTTTTGGACTCCTTTTTTCAGTGCAAAACATTTGAGTAACTTTTAGAGATCTGTTTATCAAAAATTGATTTAGAAATTTATGTATAAACTGGATCCTCAGATTCATTTACGGTTTTGGTGGAACTTACATGTAATAAATTGGTAATTGGATAACTAGACTAAAGGTTGTTACATAGGATTATTTGTGTTATCTCTTGGTCCTGAAGATAATTCTCTGCGACTATCACAACCTGGTCTTTGCTGCTCAGCTGAACACTGTAGACATGATGCACTTAATATTCTCAACCCAACCATGATCTATTAAGAATTCGAACCGTAATTGACAAAACCTATATTTTATGGAAAAAATAACACGTACTATTCACAGATTTCCTTCTCAGTGATCAGTAAATATGTTTAAAGCATTATAACTTGAAATGAATTTTACCCTGAATACATGTCATAGCTGAGTGAAATGATTATCTGAATACAACAAAATGCAATACTAAAATAATTGATAGCTTAATTTATCTAAATGCAGTGAATTGTCAAAGTTAATTCTTAATTTTATTGAATTGATCTTTAGTCTTATTGCTGTCGGTTCTTTGTCAAGTTAGAGTTAACTTAAGTAGATCAGTCGAGTAGGGTTCAGAATTTTTATAGCTGCTAGGTAAGTCCAGATACGTGACTAATGAGAAAATACCAACTAGATAAATTTTAAAAGACTTAAATATAACTTATAAATAAAATTTAGAGTTTTATGGTAGCAATCATTCCATCGAAAGAAATTTGTCCTTTTCTTCTGTAGAAGAGTTTCACAGAGTTATTACAACACTGTCATTTAAAACCCTATTTTTCGCTTAAATACACACGTGCATTTTAATTCATGCATAAATTATCAGTATTTCTCACTTGACAAACCAATAAATTGTAATAACCAAAGAGCGTGGGTCACTATTAAATTAAATTTATTTGGAAACATCTCGTTCAAAGTGTAAAACTGTATGAAGACCCAGGTTTTATTCATGGTCGTGTTTCATCTAATAAATAAGCTGTCATGCTATTTTAAACAATGTTTACTTTCTATAGAGAATAAAAAGTCTACGTAAACGATCAAGAGGAAATTTACACCCTCAAGGTAAACAAAGTTCTGATTTTGTTAACTTGGAAATGCATACAATCGACTCAGAAAGTGACCAGACAAACTCAAGTTGTGACCAAACACCTAAGCCACGTCATCGTAGACTGACTAATGCGGTAAGTATTCAGGGATTTTATTAGTAATTAGTTACTCTTGTTATGTTTCTTACATAATCATGTTAGTGATAAGCAGGCGTAATTCATTTCAGTTCACTTTTTTGTGTTTTCTGGCCGTAAATGTATTACTATCAAAATTTCCTCATCCTTTTCATCAAAAATACTAATTAAAGATTAAATTAGAGATCGTCATATTGCTTCTTGTTCGATAGTCCTACCGAAAATCACAAATATAGGTGTAGAATTTATGTCTGTGGAATATATATATCACCTAACACTTCTTTATAGCTATTATTAAACTCTAATTTATAACCTCAAAGAAAAATATAAGGAGTAATGTTTAAATATTATATCAGTCAATGTAAAACTGTTGGGGAAATATAGATTGGATTAAAGCACATTCCGTGCAGGACTGTTGCTGAACGATGATTGGTTATTTCTTATCCAATCAGCGCTAGTGGATACTTTTTGTGTAAAAACTAGAAATATAATAACGTTTTTCTTATTGTAATTCCCACTCCCATCTACCTTTGTTATTTGGAATATAATTTCGTTCTTGTTCAACCGTGTTCTTATTTGGGGACTTTTCGAGTGAACTGGTGTCCAAAAATACTAAGCAACAGGAGTAGCTGGGTCGTAATAAGATTAATTATAACAAAAACCGTCGACAAATAAATCTCTTGTTCTCTCATTAACCGTTTGACGTTTAATAATGAAATTTAATACAATTACCAAACTACTGTCAGAATTATGTTAACCGTCAACACAATAATGTTACTTAAATCTGCAAACTAATTTTATTGAAGATGACTTAAAATCAGTGTGAGTTACCATAGACGTCTGCTGAATTCATTGGTAAACAAAACGGGTGTTGAATCTGTAGTTTTATCAAATGGTTTTCCATGAACTATGTGAAGTGCTATGACATTATTTACCTTCTGCTGAATTATAAACGGTGTATTATTGTTTAGTTGTGATTGGTCACTGATTTTTTTAATGAATAATTATCAATACAGTCAAGTGATAAGAATGTATAACTTAGTTCATCAGTCGGAAGCTTCCCTGACGTTATGTACTTCTCATATTGAACTAATACTGTACTTTACAACTTCATTGTATTTAAGAACAACGAAATCCATTTTAATCGTATAAATCGAACTGCGATACAAATCATGAATAGTAAGTAAACATTATGTTTAGAAACAATATATCCTTTCATTTATCCCAGCAAAAGTCGAATTCTTCTGAAGTCACTAGGTATTAAGTCTCAATATTAGCAGAAGTCAAGAGTCCACAAAATCTATCAAGTATTAATCTCAGTCTTCAGAAAGTAACTGGTGTTACCTTCTATATCTCACTAGGTAACATTATTAGAATCAATGTTAAAAAATAAAAACTATATTTATCTTAACCATATTCATTTATGTTAGAAATAAGATAGATCGAATATTAGTTTTAAAGATTAACTAATAATTTCTGGAAATTACATTATGTTGATACTAAAAGTTATCTAATTGCAGCTTTACTTGCTTAATGGAGTTAGAAACTGATGCTGCAAGAATTTTATGGACGACAGCTTTATTAATTAGAGAAAGCTTCGAAGACTACTACCGACAATATCCAGTAGAACAAATCAATATGAAACAGTTAGCAGTACTAAAATGATAAGCCACTGTTCTATTCAAAGATTGCAGGAAGAATCCATTAGCTAACAAGAATTCAATGATAAAAGGTTCTTCATGAAGATTTATGAACCTAAAGACTGTTTTTGCAACAATAAATAATCCTTATCAAGGCCGTTTTCTTTGTCATTTGTTAACTTTTCTAATTCTGATAATATTGGTCGTCTGTTAGGATTATAAAATAAGTGATTTATTTCTATTTTATTGTTTTACTGTTAAAATTGCTTGGCAGATCATTTAGGAGATATTTTTCAAGTAAAAAAGCGAAAAATACAATGATAAATTCAAGATAGAATGTGAATTTAAAAATAATATCACTTCAGATAACTGTTATACAATGAATAGAAAGTACAGTATTAAGAGTTAACCTGTGCCAGTTTTTTGACTTTAAATGAAGTTAAGTTTTTTTGTTTTGTACTAACAGTAACGTAATTAAAAAAATCAGAGTTGAACCAAGATTCTTCGGTTTATTTTGTTCAGTATTGATAAAAGCGTATTAAAATATGCAATGTGATTTCTGGGTGATGCGATATGCTTCCGTTGATCGTTTCTGAATTCCATAAAATTATAATTTTCACAAAAATCCTAAACTTTGCATAGAGCCTTTATTAAGTAAACTTTTAAATATTAACGGTAACATTCTTAATAATAATAATAAAATATTATACAATCAACTGTCACGATGATTGGACGTTATTTTCATTGAACAACTACATCTTGGTTATCAGTCGACCATATCATATAGATTTTTTAATATTTTGTAGACACTTTTAAATCTTGTTTGAAAATATCTTAGAATTTTTCATAAGCATCTATCCAGCTATTTAAAGAAATTTTAATTAGAAAAATTTGTTAGATATTGATTATCAAAATAATTAAGGCCAAGGTGACGATAACGATAAGACGTACTTCTTTTGTACGTATAGTTCTGGTTTAAGCTCCTGAATGGTAAGAGCTTCGGCTATTTTTAAGAGTTGGATACGAAGAAATCTGGATAGATTTGGACGAATCATCTGCTCTTGTGGAGCAAGGTACATTGGCCGTAGCCAGCGCTTGCTTTCAACTCGGATACGGGAACACATCCCAGCTTGGTTCTATAAGGGTGAAAGGAAAGCAGTTAGGAGGTCTATACTTGAACACCTAATCGACTGTAATCATTATACAGATCCACAAATTGATTTTAAGGTTGTTTATATGATTCGTTCAAATCTACCCAGATTTCTTCGTATCCAACTCTTAAAAATAGCCGAAGCTCTTACCATTCAGGAGCTTAAACCAGAACTATACGTACAAAAGAAGTACGTCTTATCGTTATCGTCACCTTGGCCTTAATTATTTTGATAATCGATATCTAACAATTTTTTCTAATTAAAATTTGTTTAAATAGCTGAATATATTTATTAATTTATTGTTCTAAACATTTATCTCAAGAGTTTTTATAATATAATTGACAATTTTATTCCTTAGTTTTAATATATAATTTAGCGAATTTACTCTTATTTATTGTAAACATATTGAACAGAATTTATTATTTTCTTTTTGTTCGATTGTTCATCAAAAAGATTCAACGTGCAGGAGATGCAATGCTTTCTATTATGTATCAAATGGCATTGGATAAGAAAGAAAGTTTAAGAGTTTTAGATGCTCAAATGAGTCCTGCTTACTGTGAGTCAGAATGGGGAAACTATGATAGTGATACTCATTTAGTCTATGATAATCCATCTTATGAAGACGATGCTACAACAAATGTTATGATACGCAAGTATGTTTCTCATTTACTTTGGTGGTTAACATACAGTGTTTTAAACGCAGAACTACAATGACTGTGTATTCATTTCTATTAAATGACTGGAAAAGGAATTAGGGTAAATATATTACCGTACTAATGATGCACTAGAAAATCATAAATTGAATGCCTTTCGTATTTGAGACCGTCATATAATCTGCAGAGAAGCAATAAAGATATTTTCAGGTGTTTTTATTTTGTCAGATCTTGATATCAGTAAAAGATCGCTTAAACAATACGTAAGACTCAATTGTTATTTTGGATTACTATGACAGCTCTCAGTAGTTTAACCAGGGATTGAATCTCGGAAATTTAGGTTTTACAGAAGGCGAGTTAACCTCAGTTCACATTGTTGAAAACCGGTGTTCTAGATTACTCATTTTAATAATTTACAAAATTTACCCTGCCATAATGCATTACCACTCATAATAGATCTTACATTCTTAACATGAATCAATTCGATTATTCACACAGTCATACTAAACGACATGGTAAAAGACACCGCAGATTGAAGTGAATGCAGACTAAAATAATGTAGCAGTAAAATATCTAATTAAGTAGATTATTCACATAGTAAACAGCGTCACTTTTTGAAGTCTTTAGTGCCAATTAGATGAAGGAACTAGTTTGTCGTCTAACAAATTTTCCTACAATTTGCTTATAATGTACTTTCAATTATTAAAAACATACTATAGTTTCTAGTGGTTACTGTTTCCCAGATTTATGGTATTCTTTCAACCTGGACAAAAAGCTTAGCAAACATAGAGGTAACTTAGAAGGCGGTAGAATAATTTAAATTTGATGGAATTTGATAAAGAAAGAACAATCGTTTATGTATTGGAAGTAATTATAGGTTTACAAACCAACCAAAATTTATAGAGTAGTAGAAAACACATCACATTGTATGATCAAACACTAGAGACTGACAACATTGGAAACTTTGCCTGTGTATGTTCAGATCTATATTTGATAAGTCTTGCGATTTTGAACGCTATACTCGATTCCTAAGCTATTCTGAACCCCCCAAGCTAGAACTATACAGCGACCTGAACACGAGAGAGAAGGCGCAAGGTATGCGAAAAGTACTTTACTCCAAGGTTCATTTTAGTACAGAAAACAGACGGTTTTTATAATATTCTAAATGTCCTTGGGTTGCTCGAAGATTCTGGAATGCTACTAAACATAGTAGCGGTATAATAATCAACCAATCAGAACCTCTACATGTGACATTTCACATCCTTGATGTTTCTGGCTAAACTCCAAGTGAACGCTGATTGGATGAAATGCTTCTTAAGGTTTCCTGATCCATGTGTGTCTTTTGCGAGAACTTTTCTGGATCATCCCAACAATATTCAATCAATTCTTTGTACGACGCCATGTTATGGTAGCTTATATTTCTTTGTAGACCTACTTTTGTGTTAATCGTCATTATACATAGTCTGTCCGATAAATATTCAAAATGCAACCATAAAAGTGTTATAAATATTTGGATCGATTAACATTGTACCCTTTTAAATACCACTTGTTAATTGCATAGATTTGTGTCATTCTCCCTTCTGTTGTTCAAAATATTCCTGAAAATCATTAAATGTCATTCTCTTCATCTGTCTTACCGTCAAATAGTTTCCTCAACTACAAATGTTGTCCTATAATTGTGTCCTTGAATAATTTTCTCAAATTTATTTCAGAATCAGTTATTAGGTCAGTAAAACGACGATTAGAAACCTCAAGTAACTGCTTACGTTCATAAATGATCATACTGTTAGTGGATCATAGTAACAGTTTTCATAGTTTATAGTTGAATGGTGTTACCCTGACTGATTTGTATTTAAACATCCGTCTATATTTCAGACCTTTCTTGACAGTTTCGCCAAAACCCTAGATAGTGTACTACCGTATGTATGTTTTGACAAACGACCATTAGACATCGTCAACATATTACCTTGCAACCCAACTTAAAAAATCTTTTCCCAAACTGCACTATGAAGACCTCCACATCCAAGGGGAAGCACAGAATACATTGGACAACCTGCATGCAACTAGGCGATTCGGACTTTGCAGATGACCTAGCTCTTCTATTCTATACACACGAACAAATGCAGATGAAGACAACCAGTTTGGCAGCAGTCTCTGCAATAATAGGCCCCAACATACACAAGGGAATAGGCAACATCCTCAAATAGAACACACAGAAAACCAAACCAATCTCACTTGATGGAGAAGCTCTGGAAGAGGTGGAAACTACCACGTCTCTGAGTAGCACGATCGATGAACAAGGAAGATCCGATGCAGGTGTGCAGGCGAGGATTGGCAAATCAACAGCCGCACTCCTACAGTTGAAGAACATATGGAACTCAAAACTACTGTCAACCAATATCAAAGTGAGAATCTTCAATAGGAACGTCAAGACAGTTCTACTGTACGGAACTGAAACTTCTAGAACTACCACAACCATCATCAAGAAAGTACAGGTATTTATAAAGAACTGTCTACGTTAGATACCGAATGTGTGTTGGTCGGATACCATCAGCAACGACCTAGCGTGATCTAGAAGAAACCAACTTTTAACTGAACAGGGAATTAAGAAAAGACACTGGAGGTGAATAGGACATACATTGAGGAAATCATCCAATTGAATTACGAGGAAAGCCCTGACTTAGAGTCCTGAAGGTAAACGGAAAGGAGGAAGACCGATGAACAGACTGCGTCGAGAATTGGAAGCAGACATGAAAAGAATGAATAGGATCTGGAAGAGCTGGAAAGGATTGTCGAGGACGTTGTTGAATGGTGACGATTGGTGGACGGCCTATGCTCCACTTTGAGGGGTAAGAGACGTAATTAAATCAATATTTACCATTCGTTACGTAGATTCAAAACACATACTGAATGGCCTAATACTCGTTCATATATTTAGAAGACAGTATGTATTCCTAGAGAACATTACCTGCACATCATATTCAGATGCCTATATGTATATCTGTGTTTCGTTTCCTGAAAAAGGGAGAACACTTATTCGGAATACTTAATTTTATATCTGAATTTCTAGCTGTCGTTTTCCTATTTTCTCAGTGTCATGATGAAAGTATTGTAGAAACGATTTTATTGTTTATAAGGCATTACAACTCACCGCTTTTCAGATGCCTTAACAAATTTACAAGCGAAGTGTATTACTGAATATTCCACTAATAAGCTAGTGGTAATTAATAATATGGTTAATAAAATTATGGTTAAATGATGGAGGCTTCGTAATGGAACTGTTCTTATGTTCTGATTACAGTATAGAAGTTATAGTATGATATACCTGATAGACAAAACTCCTAGTTTTATGACTAAAGCCAAAAATAAGTGCTTATGACGAGTCCAAGAGAAGTATTAAATACTTGAACAGTAGTAAACAATTACAGCAGTTCAATAAAGAAGCTTTATTAATTTAAGTGATATTTTTAAACTTATAATCAATGTGAAATACACTGTTCTCAGCTTCACTTATTGAAACATTTTGAAATAAAATCAGTTTCAGTTTAGTTTAATGTTTCACTTCCCACTAAGCAACTTCACAAGATCGAAATCCGGTGGCATAACGATTTATTAATTATCTGTTCGATGATGATATAGTTGAATAAATCTAACTTTTTTTTGGATAATTTACGTAATGGATTGCATGTCGACCTTTATCATAAGTGCTATTATGACTTTTTCTGTTCTTCACTACTCAACATTAGTTATTGAAATGCTTACCTTTATTCTTTACATTCCATATCGATTGAGTTGTATAGGGTAAAACAGAAAGCTGATTTATCTAGTAAAATTATTACATATGAAGAAATTTAACAGAATCATAATCGATCTATTGCAGTCCAGTCATTTATAAATTTAATTGATTAACCGTATTAAAATGTTTTTAAGTGAGAAATAGTTGCCTGTTATATGAAATACGACTACACCCTATAGAATGAATTTGACCTCAAGTAATTCTATCATATTTTAATTACATGCTAAGGATACTTTAGTAACGTTCTTTTAAGCTTTGTTGAATCACAAGATCTGATAAAACATGTATTTCAAGTTAGTAAATTGTACTTCAAATACAAATAGCACTTATAACTCAAGCATTATGTATTATTCGTTTAGGACTATCAGTTACAGTCATAACAGTGCCCTAGATTTTACAGCAAAGTATGTTTAGAAATGCATATTGTTTACTAATTTGAGAAGAGATTTATTTCCATTTTCTCCATTTTTGTTATTTAAACATATTCTTTAAACAGATTTTTGATAAAACTCATCCAGTGACTTAAATTTTTCTCTTGATGATTTCAATAATTCAATATTGTAAATAATCACTGACAATTTCGCTCTTATATGATTAGAATTTCAGTATAGAAACAAGTAGTGTTCTAAATAATAAGTAAATCTCTTCGTAAATGTTTAGGTTTAATAATTTTTAAGCAATTAAAAATATATAAGTAACATCTAAATTTACGCAGATAACAACTTTAAGAAACTCTCCAGTAAGGTGTTAATGACTGGAATTTTGGAGAAGCTTGTTATGTGATTAGATTCAAACCATCAGGCTCCAAAATAATCAATAAATTCATTGACCGTGATGCTATATCCTGACGTCTTAGGTAGTTAAATATTTCTAACCTTGACTATCTGCGGTAGCCCGGTCGCCAATACAAATCATTTAGTCGTGAATTAATTTAAATATTATATGTAAATAACAAATCTACATTATTAATGTAGTATATGTTATATTGTTTTTGTACCTGACACTGCAAATAAACTTTCACACAGAAAAAGCTCATTTGGTTAACTTCGTTTCGGTCTTTTACTTCATTTTTTTTCTCATATTGAATTAACTCTAGTTGGTTCTTCTTGGTAATCGACTACTGCTATATAGCTGATTCGTAATGCCCTACTGACATTATTCTCTCTACTGTTCTCTTCGTAATTATAACAAATTTAGCGATTATCAATTATTTTTACAAAAACTGTCAAAAGGCTATGCATTTTGTTGCAATTTGAAATAATCAAGTATAGTACTATTAAAGTCGGACCATAAAGTGTCATTAAATAATTGGTCAAAATGTATGCAGTCAAGCATAATCTATAGAAATTAATATCTGATCACTGTCAGAAACTCTTGAATTCTTCATCACAACAGATTTATTTTGATTGCTTTTATAAGCATTCTACTATAGGCACTTAGTTTGTATTTCATAATTCAATTACGAAAAACACACTCACCTACTTAACAATGTTTATTATAGTCATATGATTTGTAATTGAATGAATGTAAGTGATAAAAGATTAGTTTTTATATACATCTCATTTTTAGTTGCCTTGTGTTTAAGCCAGATATGTTGGAAACAATAGTGTTACTAAGCAGTAGTAAAGTTTCTAACGCTTACTTAATGATAAACTGTAGAAACCAAACGTCTTATGCATAGTCCATCACTAATATTTATGCATCCCAACTTCCTAATAAGGACAGAAATCTATTCCTTACCATCAAGTTTAGCTTACGAAATCTCAACACCAATTGTTATAACGTGTCGATATTATAATTACGAGTTATTTTGTCAGTCCACATTCCAGTTAAAGTTTAAAAAGGACAAGAACTGTAAATTTCATTTTTATTATTTATCACTAATTAACTAAACCTTATGCTATAGGTAGAAATATTGCGCAATATTACAAGTCAAGTCAGTAAGATGGGATGTGACGTGACTATAATTAATTGACGAAGCAATCAGATTTAAGATAGAGTCATGTGTGTCATAAAATTCCTGTATCCATATGGTGAAATATCATTTCACGTTATAGTTGATCTCACTTCGTAAGGAAAACCCTGATTCCAATGGAGTTCTGTTCTCTGAGCTGTATGGTTTGGTCGTAGAGCTTTCATTGTTATTCTGAACGACATCATCAGCCCAGACTTCAGGTAGAAGTGAAGTGTTCAAATTTCTTCATATATAGCTCACAGCTTGTCCCGTAGACCTCGATGTTGATTGATTATCAAAATCATCCATCTGAGCTACAAATCTTCTCCACCATCTCAAAACCCTGATTCTGATTTCCAACTTCTGATTTCTCACACTAATTGATAGTCCCCTTTAGACCCTAGTATGTAGGTGGATTTTCTCAATGTCACTTTGGCGTTGCTCAAAGGTTGCCAATAAATTATTGTCTCAACTGAAGTGTTTGTATTAAATTTTAATGAATTATGAATCGATTGTTGTTATTTATCTCCGATAGGCTGAAAAAACATTTAATATGTGGTGTTTTATGCACGTTGTATAGTCATAGTGAAAATACCAAAATTATCATTATCTAAAAAATTTTAAATGTAACTAGTGCAAGCTGATTTCATAAAACAACTTTAAAATGTTGATCTAATTAGTAAGAGAATAGTTTTATGATTCTATAGATCCTTAAAACGAATGTAGTAATATCGAAAATAATCATCAGACTTTCTTAGCATTTTAGTAATTTACTTTTAAGAATATTTGTCGTTGTCTTTATTGTGAGAAAAGTCGAATGTTTTTTTTTAATTTAAACACACGTCATACTGAAATGTAAAATTGTAATAATCCTTCAAAATAATAAAGAAAAACTTTAAAAATGTTTACTTTGAAAGAAATTGATATAAGTTTAGTGCTAGAATAACTGTGAAACCATATTGTTTACTAGATATCAAAAATCTAAAGGACATAAGTCCTAAAGTACAACTTAGGGAAAACTGAAAACTGATCTTTCAAGCATCATATAATTTTTATTACTGTCTTAAATTTTTCATTTGAATTATTTGAATGCATGTGCAAATGAAATTACGTTTAGCAAGAATATCGTAAACGTTTCGATTTAGTTCGATGTGTTATTCAATTTTGAAATAAATAAAAAATTTAATATACGACATAGTTCTTTGTATTTTTTAGTAACTCAATAATTCTAGTAATGAGCTTAAACAGATAATTCAGTAATCTCAATGGTTGAATACATGAGTCGATTTAAACTAGACCAACATAGAAAACGTGGAAGCCCTGGATGGCTGTTTCGTCCTACAATATGGGACCATTCAGATATGCTGACCCACGACACCTCACACTGTACTCAAACCCAGTACATGAGGTCTCACACGTGAACAATTAACGTTTGAGAACACTAAGCCGGCTCCCAGCGATTGAAGTTAGAAATTGACAACGTTCAATTCAAGCTCAATGTTCTAGAGGTCAAGAGTTTGCGTGTAAGACCCTAGCTTCTGGGTTCGAGTCCTGCGTGACGGATAGTGAGTGCGCGCTTTTGAGGAGTCCCACACTAGGATGAAACAGCCGTCCAGTAGTTCCAGGTTTAACATGATGGTCTAGCTTAAATCGAACCATGAACTAAATCATTAAAAGTACTACGGTCATCACAAACTACCATTCTGATAATATCATTTATTTAACAACGTTACAGTTATTCAATTTAAATATCTTAATTACCTATTTATTTAGCTAGTTACTTGCGTCTGTTACCCCTCAAAGTGGAGCATAGGCCGTCCACCAATCGTCACCATTCAACAACGTCCTCGACAATCCTTTCCAGCTCTTCCAGATCCTATTCATTCTTTTCATGTCTGCTTCCAATTCTCGACGCAATCTGTTCATCGGTCTTCCTCCTTTCCGTTTACCTTCAGGACTCTAAGTCAGGGCTTTCCTCGTAATTCAATTGGATGATTTCCTCAATGTATGTCCTATTCACCTCCAGTGTCTTTTCTTAATTCCCTGTTCAGTTAAAAGTTGGTTTCTTCTAGATCACGCTAGGTCGTTGCTGATGGTATCCGACCAACACACATTCGGTATCTAACGTAGACAGTTCTTTATAAATACCTGTACTTTCTTGATGATGGTTGTGGTAGTTCTAGAAGTTTCAGTTCCGTACAGTAGAACTGTCTTGACGTTCCTATTGAAGATTCTCACTTTGATATTGGTTGACAGTAGTTTTGAGTTCCATATGTTCTTCAACTGTAGGAGTGCGGCTGTTGATTTGCCAATCCTCGCCTGCACACCTGCATCGGATCTTCCTTGTTCATCGATCGTGCTACTCAGAGACGTGGTAGTTTCCACCTCTTCCAGAGCTTCTCCATCAAGTGAGATTGGTTTGGTTTTCTGTGTGTTCTATTTGAGGATGTTGCCTATTCCCTTGTGTATGTTGGGGCCTATTATTGCAGAGACTGCTGCCAAACTGGTTGTCTTCATCTGCATTTGTTCGTGTGTATAGAATAGAAGAGCTAGGTCATCTGCAAAGTCCGAATCGCCTAGTTGCATGCAGGTTGTCCAATGTATTCTGTGCTTCCCCTTGGATGTGGAGGTCTTCATAGTGCAGTTTGGGAAAAGATTTTTTAAGTTGGGTTGCAAGGTAATATGTTGACGATGTCTAATGGTCGTTTGTCAAAACATACATACGGTAGTACACTATCTAGGGTTTTGGCGAAACTGTCAAGAAAGGTCTGAAATATAGACGGATGTTTAAATACAAATCAGTCAGGGTAACACCAGTCAACCTTCTGAAGGAAGGAATATGAGATATTTGGAAAGTGAATATCTTACTTGATAATATTGTGTTGGACTGAATAATTTGTCGTTCACTATTCAATGTTCTTAATTTAAAACTAATTTTGTATACCTACTAGTTATTTGACAATCAAGTGAAAAATGTACTAGATGCTTCTCTAGGATTGAGAAACATATTCGGTTATCAAAACTCTCTTTTTTAACAAGATTAAAGGTTTTTCATAGTCTACTTCGTATATTTAAATCTCATTTATTTATTACTCATATGTCTGTATTAGTAAGGTTACCAGATGGTTATCATACAAAATTGTTTTCATTAATTTAAAGAGAATTGGCCTCGCTAGAAGAGCTTTCACAAGCCGGTCAACGATGCACTTGGATTGGACAAGATTATGTCAACTGGAGTTTAGTTGAACCAACTGCCAAAGAGCATCCAGCATTAGGTTAGTGATAAAATTTTATTTACATATGGTTTACTTCGATTTGATATATTTCCCTCACACTTTATCTCTGGAATGTAGTTTTTTATTCTTGGAACATATTCAGAATAATGTAGATTAGTTTGTAGCTTTTGTTTTCTATACCTCAAAATGTTTATCCTACGGATTACATATCATGATTGAATAGTCTGTCGAATCAAATTTTAATCAATAAACCATACCATTTGCAGGTTATGTTGTATTCAAAGTAAATTAAATCAATGGTACGACTCGAGAAATATTTATAGACTGATATTATATATATATATAGTCTGTCCGATAAATATTCAAAATGCAACCATAAAAGTGTTATAAATATTTGGATCGATTAACATTGTACCCTTTTAAATACCACTTGTTAATTGCATAGATTTGTGTCATTCTCCCTTCTGTTGTTCAAAATATTCCTGAAAATCATTAAATGTCATTCTCTTCATCTGTCTTACCGTCAAATAGTTTCCTCAACTACAAATGTTGTCCTATAATTGTGTCCTTGAATAATTTTCTCAAATTTATTTCAGAATCAGTTATTAGGTCAGTAAAACGACGATTAGAAACCTCAAGTAACTGCTTACGTTCATAAATGATCATACTGTTAGTGGATCATAGTAACAGTTTTCATAGTTTATAGTTGAATGGTGTTACCCTGACTGATTTGTATTTAAACATCCGTCTATATTTCAGACCTTTCTTGACAGTTTCGCCAAAACCCTAGATAGTGTACTACCGTATGTATGTTTTGACAAACGACCATTAGACATCGTCAACATATTACCTTGCAACCCAACTTAAAAAATCTTTTCCCAAACTGCACTATGAAGACCTCCACATCCAAGGGGAAGCACAGAATACATTGGACAACCTGCATGCAACTAGGCGATTCGGACTTTGCAGATGACCTAGCTCTTCTATTCTATACACACGAACAAATGCAGATGAAGACAACCAGTTTGGCAGCAGTCTCTGCAATAATAGGCCCCAACATACACAAGGGAATAGGCAACATCCTCAAATAGAACACACAGAAAACCAAACCAATCTCACTTGATGGAGAAGCTCTGGAAGAGGTGGAAACTACCACGTCTCTGAGTAGCACGATCGATGAACAAGGAAGATCCGATGCAGGTGTGCAGGCGAGGATTGGCAAATCAACAGCCGCACTCCTACAGTTGAAGAACATATGGAACTCAAAACTACTGTCAACCAATATCAAAGTGAGAATCTTCAATAGGAACGTCAAGACAGTTCTACTGTACGGAACTGAAACTTCTAGAACTACCACAACCATCATCAAGAAAGTACAGGTATTTATAAAGAACTGTCTACGTTAGATACCGAATGTGTGTTGGTCGGATACCATCAGCAACGACCTAGCGTGATCTAGAAGAAACCAACTTTTAACTGAACAGGGAATTAAGAAAAGACACTGGAGGTGAATAGGACATACATTGAGGAAATCATCCAATTGAATTACGAGGAAAGCCCTGACTTAGAGTCCTGAAGGTAAACGGAAAGGAGGAAGACCGATGAACAGATTGCGTCGAGAATTGGAAGCAGACATGAAAAGAATGAATAGGATCTGGAAGAGCTGGAAAGGATTGTCGAGGACGTTGTTGAATGGTGACGATTGGTGGACGCACCGTGCTCTTGCGTATAGGTTAACAGACGTGCTTATATTTTTAGGCTAATGTTGTGTTCTGATTTGCAATTTTCTGGGCTTTTTAATGTTCTACCTTCACGAAATTCAGCCAAGATTCATGTTTGAATAATAGATGCCATTACTATTTAAAATATCATTTGTTTTGCACAATGTTAATTTTTTGGAAGCAGTAATTTTATTTGCTATTTCGTCGTCGTCATTTGACAGTTATGTATGTCATGACATTTTATTTGATGTGGAATTCAGTCTTGGAATTGCTAGTATTGTTAGTTAATGGCGTGTTTCAGCCATTAAACATTTCCATTCTATTTCATGTCAGTCAGTCAGTCAGCTGCAACGTAGGACCAGGCACGTATATGCATCGGTCCAAGTTGCCGCATCTCATTAGTACAACAAGATGAACACTAAATTCATAGAAGTAATTACTTCAATAGCAGCAATACATAAAAAAGATTGCATATAAAGAAATGATACGGAGAAAGAGAATTAGTTCGTAGAAAGAAAGATTTGAAGTGATTTTAATCTCTTAGTTTAAAGGAAGACAGAGAGTGTATACACCGACGCCATTGTGATCGATTCTGAGCCATGTCACCAAGAGTCTCCAACCATTGGTTACGATAGTCACGCGGACCCCAACCAGGCAGTCTGAATCTCCCAACATGGCTCAGACCAGAAGTTAGTGACTTCAAGCACTGATGCCACGTTTTGGTTTGGCCGCCCCTAACTTTCTTCCAATCATTCCTAACACCGATTAGCATTGCGCGCCATGGTAGTCGGTGTTCAGGCATACGCAGCACGTGGCCCAACCATCTCAGTCGATGATGATTCATAACCTCATCAACTGATTTACCATCATTCCCTAATACCCTGCGTCTAACCTCACTAGTACTTACCCGGTGATCCCAGCAGATGCGAGTAATATTTCTAAGGCACCTGTGATCAAATACTAGTAACTTACGAATATCTTCTACTCTTAAAGGCCATGTTTCGCAGCCGTATAGTAGAACGGAACGAACTGCCGCGCAGTATACTCGTCGCTGAATTGATAGACGGATAACTCGCCTTCGCCATAGATGACGTAAGTTGGCAAAGGCCAAGCGATCATTTCGAATCCGTGCTGAGATTTCGTCAGACACCAACCCATTAGGGCTGATCACACTTCGTAGTGAAGTTGTCAACTCGTTCGACTACTTCACTCCCTATCCTTAGTTCAGGTGTTGATGCAGACCAGTCCTGAAGCAACAACTTGCATTTGGAGGGAGAGAAGCGCATCCCAAACATCCTGGTATTGTTGCTCAGTGCTACCAAAAGACTCTGCATTTCATCAGCGTCTTCACCAAACAGGACTATGTCATCTGCGTATTCTAAGTCAATAAGTGAACCTCCTGGTAGGAGATCAATACCCGAGAATTCAGTCGATGAGAGCGTTATTTCCATCAGCAGATCTATGATGAAGTTAAACAAAAATGGAGAAAGTGAACAACCTTGGCGGACGCCACTTGAGGTTGCAAAAGCAGATGACAGTTCGCCATAAGCTCTGACTCGACTAGTAGTGTTCGAGTAAAGAGCCTTCACAAGGTTTCTGTACTTCATGTAGTTTATAGTGGATATCCTTTTAAAGCTATTTGCCTAGTTCTGAGTAACTTTTGGATAAATGCACGACTATAAGGTAAGTAGAAGCGATCTGACCTATGTTTAAAAGTGATTTAGTGAAACCACTTTTTCACTTGAACCTATAATATGGTTGTCTCATTCGTAATTCAACTTTCTCAGCATACATGACAAAATTGCCCTCTGTCCTTTTATCAAGATTTGTACACTATGCAGTTGTTTTATTATTCTTTATCTATGTTCGTCGTTTTTCTCACTTTACGTAATGTCTTTACTACTTATTATTGGTATCATCTTTATCATCACAATAGCTATAACACAATATTTTCTATTACGATTTTCACAAACAATGTTATTCCAATGACTAGAACTCATCAACTTAAAACGTAAGACTTTTTATTCTCTTTTAATATATGACCTTTTTAACTTAATCAACAATGTTTTTGGTTAGAAGTTAGAGCTTAATTGATATACAATACATTTATTTTAAATCATATCACCAACTAATGATATTTATGAATATGGCATATCTGACGTTTACATCAGAATTCGGTTAACTATTTTTATCAACGAGAAACACGTCATCACATAAATAAAGTAACAAATATTTATTATTTTTAAAAATTAGCAATAAACTTATTTTACTTGGTATTTTCATTTGCAGATTTAGTAGATAGAACATGCGTTCCACGTATGCCATGGCATGATGTTGGCTGTGTGTTTGTTGGTACTGCTGCCTGTGATATATCTAGACACTTTATTCAACGCTGGAATCAAATACGAGTAAGTTATACCATATTATTTAGATTCAGCAAAATTGTATACTACTTAAGATATAGTTATCTTAGTATATTATGTTATTAATTAATTTGGGATTAGTTTCACTATAGATTAACAAAATAATAAACCTTAAGTAAATATCTTTGTGATACTTCAACATTTTTGCCAGTTTTTGTCAATGCGTTAAGTGTCCACTTTAGGTTGTTACACAGGTATAGTTTTCAGTACATTAAAAACAACATAAAAATATGCGGAAATGTTCACATTATACCATTATTTATTCAATAAAATACCATCGGTATCAGAGGATTGCAAAAAAGAAGTAAACTCCATAGATGAATAAATATTATTGTAGTGAATTATTACAATAAATATTATAATGCAGATAAATACTTTTTTTCCATGTTAGCATATTGATGTATGAATATTTTGTTTTTATTTTCCAAATTCATGCTCAATTGTGATTGATTTAATTTGATTATACTTATATTAGTCAATGAATATTGGTTTCATTTTATGATAATAAAAATTTTTATTTTATATATTCGTTGATAACTATTTCACATGAAATTCATACTGTTAAGTTATGATATTTAGATAGTTATGTTTGAAAATTAGCTATTTTCATATAATAGTAGTAAATAATTTTGTTATTTAAAAGTCATTAAAAAATCATAACAAATTTTGTAATAGTTGTACAGTGTTAATTAAATTTAAAAGAAAAATTGATTGTAATCATATTACTGTTGGAAACTAATTTACCTTATAGTTGTATTCTAAATGTTTTTATTACATTGTATTACCTTTATACTCAATTATGATTAGAATAGATGAATTGGTTGAAATCATCTTAAATTCGTAATTAGTTATATTAAACTGATATGAGTTAAATATTATTTCTTTATTTACATGTAACAATCACATTACTGATGATGGATTATTGTATGGTATTTAAATGTATGTAGATGATAAACAATTTATATAAATCACATTGATTTCTAGTTTATTTTTCTTTGTACAATAAGTATAAGGTATATTTGAATGCATCTTTATTTCACAGATCAATAATTTACATACATACATATATACATATGTACATCAACCAATTAAAAATTTCTCTATTGCTTCGAATATTTTCAGCGATATTACTATGGACATAAAACGCATTAAATGTTATTACACTTGCATTTTTCGAATTAAAATTCTGGTTAAATAACACAAGAAAAAAGTCATTAGGCTATACAGTTTTGTTGAGAAAGTTTTTTAAAACGATTTCAATATGATAATATCCTATAATGAATTTAGTTCTAGAAAACTCTTGATAGTGCTTTTAATAGAACTCAATAAAAACATTATGTTTATAGGGGTATATTCAGAAACTGCATATGGTGAACTGAGTAAATATTTGCATAAATTGCAAACTATATATATATATATATATATTAATTTCTCGATGTAAATCTCACTATGATTGAAATTGATTTACGATAAGTACCTACAATCTTTCGTGAACTGTTACTAATTGAAGGGTTCGGCTGAACCATAAACGTAGACAACATGACAGTGGTAATACTCTAAATTAATCATGCTCAATTCAAGATAACTGAGTGTCAAAAACCGGTATGTGAACTTCCTCAGAAAATGTATAAATATGGAATAGTGTTTTGGGATTAGCAAAGTCGAACGGCTCAATAAGTGTCATTGTATGGAGTTTTAGATTTTAGTAACACGATTCAATTTGGTAAAATTATTGGGCTGTGCATATAATATTAGTGATCATTGACTGAAGGATACTGAAATTCATTTCCACCATTTCAAATAAGCATAATGAATGCATTTTCATTGAATAATGAAGTGTTATAATTTTATTCTTTTTGTTTCAGTATGTCGACATTTTAGTACCATTGTAATATTGATTTACTATTATTAGCTCATGCTGAATATTTGTATATTTTCTTCAACTAAACTTAAAAGCCTTTTAACGAACAGATACCTTAATTTGTTTCTGGTTAAAACGCGTTACATTTATCTTATCAGAGAATATTTTCAGTTAATAATTAACCTCATTTAACTCCATCAGTAATGGTGTTGATGAAACATATCTTAAATAACTTCGCACATGTTCTTCAACATAAACTATTGATAAAATCGCGATATTGAAGTTAAAAATACGTGTGTTTAGGATGAGCATATTCCGCAAGGTCATATGAATAGCTATACAATAAAAGCGGTGAGTATATGTGCTTTTCCAAATGGCATACTAGTCAAAATTAATGTTGGGCCTGCTGAATAAATCATAGAATCACAGAACAGTTGATTAGGTTAGTAGTAAACAAATAAATACATGGTAACTAGCAAACATACATCAATAAAGCTCACATCATACTGGTTAAATGAGAAATCATAGATTATAATTCAAGAAAACTACCAATGACACGTTTACTGATCAAGCTTGTACGAAAAAAGTATTCTATTGGGCTATGATAAAAGCTACTATCAAATCTAATATTTTTTTAAGATTCTGTTCATTTTATTTTTTTGATTGTATCATCAAATAGATCAAGTCGTTAATGTACGATACAGAGTTGTACAAAAACTTCTGTGGTTGTAATTCGTAAACTTAACGAATAGTTTTGCCAAGGTTTAATCTCTGAACGTTTTTCCATGTTTTTACTTAGTTAGTTAATCCTTTGAATTATTTAATTGAACTATTTTCTTACAGTTCAGGAAAATAAGGTCTGCACCTAAAGGAAGTGGAAAACGGATTTTTCAACGTCTTGTACCTGGTTTGTTACCATCACACCCATGTTCTCCATGGACTGAAACAAAATTGTCAACGATCCTTGTAGACCCGAGGCAATCTGCAGTGTGTACTGTACAAGCTTTGCGAAGTGTTGCTAACTGGTCGTTAGGAGTTCACTCGGGAGATAAGAAAGGTTTCCGTAAAGCTTTCCGCAGACTGTTTCATCAAAACTTGCCTAGCCGGTGCAAAAATAACATTGATCTCGATGAAACCAAAGAACAAATTGGATTAGAGAAGTCGGTTCTAAATGCTTACATTGATATGATAAACCAGGCAGAAAACTTTATATATATTGAAAACCAGTATTTTATCAGCTACATCCTAGGATCACAAGAAGATCAACACAGTGGTGAAGATCTTGAAAGCGAAAAAAATTCCACAATTGAAAAAAGTCCTCATAGACAAGCATCTGATCACCTTCAGCCTAGTAACTCTAATGGTTTGGTCAAAAATCGCATATGTGAAGCCATTTATCTTCGGATTTTACGAGCTTATAAGTACGAGAATACAAAAGATTTTTTATATATCAACTATTATTAGCATAGCTTTTGTAAAATGGTTCCGAAGCTATGTCTATACCCGAATACCATTTACATGATGTGAAAGTTCTTTGATTTATGGGCTGACGTCATCTGGAAAACTGATGAAGTTTGAGAACTAGACGGTTATATTTTCCTAATTTGACTTATCACTAACACATATACATAACATAATATCAAGTCAGGGTTCTCAGTAACTTTACGCGTAAGGTACCATGAGTCACTTAGTCGTAATCCAATTAGCAGCATAATAAAATAATCTAGCATGGTATATTTTGAGCATGTCACAAATAAACATACTAAAATACAATGTATGATCCTCTTCTCACAAGCTGGTATGAGTAAACTCTTAAATCTGCATCAACTAAATATAGAAACTTTCAATTGAAAACAAAATTTCGTCTTAAAGTTATGATCAATTCTCAATATATTTTAAGTAAGCTTTTTTACATTAAGAAGTACATTTTTTGTCATATAAACAGTTGTTTTATGTGATTTTGGAAGGACGAGAAACTACCATATTCAGAGTCTTTTAGTAGCTCATCTATTTTAGTGAACGAACTAATGTATGATGTATACTTTTAATCAAATGCACTCAAAATTACACAAAAACTAAACCCTTTTGCCTAACAATCGATAAATGTAATAATGACTGAAAACAATATAAATAAAAATTGAACATCAGTTAATAAATACTTCGTGATAAGGCACAATGTGTAAGTAAACCACTGTGTATTAGCAATTGATGGAAGAAAAGTTACTAATTTGATGTGAATACTTTGATTTATATTTGTAATTTAATAGTTGAATTCATGGAAAACCTTGAAGTACTGGATGGCCGTTTCGCCCCAGTATGCGACTCCTCAGCAGTGCGCATCCACGAACCCGCCTATCAAGATCCAAATTCAAGACCTATCGGTCTCGCACGCGAACGCGAACTATTAAATTACTACAATATCCACAAAACCCCTCTCTGGTTATAATATATGTAATTTTTAGTCTGCAATCGTATGAAAAATTTGCAATTAGTCAGTTGTAATGCAGCAAAGATTTTGTCGTCTAACATTAAGATGTATGTTTTTAGCCAAAATACCTGCTATTGTCCTTGTTAAAACCAGTACGGATGTTGAATGTCCCCTGAAGTAAATAGTCATGTACGACTTAGCTTTGTATCATAAGAAATCCAACATAGTTCAGAACAAATAAATCCTGTAATCGCTGCAACAATTCAGTAAAAACTAATATTAGTAAACTTGGTTGCATGGTAAAACAAAACTTCAAAAAGCAAGGTTTGAGATTGGCAGAGCATGGAGTTAACAGTCCTCAAAGTAATTCGCTCATCAGTTTGTAGTAAAGCAGAACACAGGTCAGGACAACTGCATTGTTGTAACCTCGAAATTACAGAATTAATTGGTAAAATAGAAAAACCGTGTAGTAAATCGTTATTTTGCAAAATATTAATCCATCATATCACACTGGACTGTTCCTGTGGCAAACATCAATCCATTGTCTGACATTTCATTGTTCATACGTTTTCATTCAAATTTCATTGTGTTTCCACTCTTCCTTTCTTGATCTTCCCCCATCTTCTGCTGCCAGACATTAAGTTTTTAACTCGCGTCATATACTACTTATTATATCAATATAAGTAGCGCGCACCACAAGTTTTCTTGGACTGACAATATGGATGGTAATTAATATGTTATAAACTATATATAACGCCAAAATTTTTAGCTTTCGATGATTCAGAGGTCGTATTAAGACTGGTTTCTTAGTGTTTGAATATTTGTAAAACGTTCCAAATAACTTCATTTATTTTTTCTTTTTACTCGTAATCAATGTAATAAAAAATATATTGGCAGAAGACAGTGTCAACATAGCACTGACTTTCCTTTGAGTGGAATAGATTTTTCAGATTTACAATGCCCGACCCAATGGAATTAAATGAAAGTTATGTTAAACAAAAACGGGAGTAAGATAACTTTTTGGTTGTGAACACTAGATATGTGCAAGTTATAAACTGAATAATCACTTAAACGTTCAAGTATTCAGCCTTCTCTCCTTCATATCACCAAACACTCATTTTAGTTTTTTATCTGAAACATTATTTTGATGGATATATATCCGATAAATATTTAAACTAAATAAGTACCAAGTGGATCATACTTTACGAATTCTACTTTTCAGCGAAGGAAAACTCTTCCGTGTTTTCATAATGCTCCCTTCACTCACCGCGTTTAAAGGTGAAGTTGGAACTTCATCTGGGACGTATATACATGCAATTTTACACTATACACGACAAAGCTTGTTTACAGGTGAACATGCTTTAATTCCCCGGTTGAAGAATGTTTTACCGAATCCTGAAGACTATGTCTCTATATGTAGCTTAAGAAATTTTGACGAATGGCCTGATGGTTCTATTGTAAGTCAACTTAACCTACTGTAATACTAAATTTATTAACAAACCAATGTAATTTGAATCAATGTTTGTGTACGAACGATGGAAAAATTAATTAGTGACTGCTGTTTCAAGCGTCAAATAGATAGGCTATTTGTAAACATTTCTATTTACGTACTTTATAACTGAAAAGAAAGGCATGACAGCGGGCTTTATTTTTGAAATGTTAGAAACAAATAATTAAGAACTGATGTCGTTATTCTGGGATATTTCATATGTAGTTTGTTTTGAAAAACTGTTTTTTTTTAAGTATTAAAACTGAATTATTCAAGGCTGAAGTTGGCATGACTAACTAAAGAGTACATTCATTCTTTATTCTTTTACGTGGATTCCAAACTCTTTTACTCAAGTTATACTTGTATTTTCACCGTAAATATATTTTCCTTCCTTCATTTCAAGTAAAAATACTTGAAAATTTGTGATATTATACACTCCATTCAACGTTAGTTTGCTGTTTTATCTAATTATTCTAATGTGGACTGTTTTAATATCTTAGTAAATGATGAACAATTAAATATTTGTACTTTTTACAGAATAGATCATTCCGCAATATTTATTTTATTGTATTAGTACAAGCGGGAACCGAATATATATACACCACATAATAATAATGAGAATAGGAAAAGAAAAAGAATGTAAGGTGTGTATAAGAGAGAAGAAAGGAAGAAAAAAGAACAATAACAACCACAGATTAGTGTATGGTGGTGTAAAAATAATAATAATAATGGGGGAAACGGAAAAATACAATCAAAATAATTCTTTTAGTTAAGGAAGATAAAACCACTTTTTATGAAGAAAGTAAAAGAAGGTTACAGCACGATCGCCACTGGCTTCTATTCTGAGCCATATCTGATAACGTCTCTAGCCACTGTGTTACACCATCTCTCGGACCCCAGCCAGAGAGTCGTGAAGAACCAACACAAGTCAGCCCTTTGCAGCTTTCTTTCATACCACGACACCATGTCATACACTGACCACCTCTCCGCTTTTTCCAACCAGTCCCAGAGTCGGCAAATAATGCAAGATGTGGAATTCTCTGGGACGACATTCGTAGAACATGTTCAAGCCAGCGAAGCTGGTGTTTCAAGATGGTGACACCAATTGCATTATCGTCTGTGAGCCCGAACACACGATGCCGAACCTCTGCACTACTAACATGGTGTTGCCACTGGATGTTAGCAATCCTTCGGAGACAGCGATGATCGAACACAAAGAGTCGTCTAACATCCTCAACTCGGAGAGGCCAGGTTTCACAACCACAGAGCAGAACTGCTCTCATCGACGCGTTGTAGATCCGACCTTTTACAGCCAGACTAACATCACGAAGGCGCCAAAGATGGCCCAGATTGGCATAAGTCGCTCTGGCTTTCACTATACGTGCATTGATCTCATCACTCACGCCACCAACAGCACTTATGCAGCTACCCAGATTCACGAACTTCTCGACCACTTCTATCTGCTCACCATCCAGAGTGAGTACAGGATTAGAATCCTGCCAATCTTGTAAAAGTACTTTACACTTTGAAGGTTCAAAGCACATACCGTACCAAGGGTATGTGCTAATGACTGTAGAATTACCTTAGTCTATTTCCAGTTTTATTATTTTTATTGTCATAAAACTTTTTGAAATTGCATTCGTAACTAATTACTTTGATTAGTCTGTTGAAATTCTTGTTTGTTTTAGGTGTATATATCATGCTTGTTAAATGTGTTGAATGTTTACCAATCTTAAATAGTAGCCTTATGTTCATCGTTGTGATATTTATTGATTTTATTGCTTTTCCTGATGCTTACTTATTTCAGCACTGATATTCCATCTTTTGTAAGATAATACTGGATAAGAGAAAAACAATTAAAGAACGATTTATTACTAACCAAACTGAATCCTCACTACTAGTATGCGTTAAAGCGTTAAAATACGAAAATACTTCAGTCTGTCACGTTGTAAGTATGATTCAGTCGCTCTATGGTTTTTACTAGGGGTAAATTGAACAACTAATATTACTCAAAAATCAATAAACAAAGTAATTTAATCTTCTTATGATCACTCAATAAAGTAGAAAAGAAGAAACAACCATAAATTAATATGATCTTTTATGCATAAATTGAATAGTATTTTAAATAAATTTTAGAACAATGTACCTATGATCTTATATAGAAATTAGTTCGCTAGGTTATTCCAGGTAATTTTACCATGACTTACCACTTTTTTAGCAAGAAGTTTATTTACGTAATGTTTCAATGACATGATGCACTTATGAATCTCCTAGTGAATACAACGTTTTAAAACATTAAAAATGTGAGAATTCCCCATTGAAACGACTTTCAGTATTGCGTTATTTGTTTTCGTGTTTATCCTTCTCTTTCCATTTCAGAGAACAGAACTAATTTACATTCACAGCAAAGTTATGATTGTTGACGACAAGAAGATGGTTTTGGGATCAGCTAACATAAATGATCGAAGCATGTTAGGCTTTCGTGATAGTGAATTGGGTATTATAATAGAAAGTAACTCAGACAATGACTTAATTCAGGGAAAGTTTGGAAATACTAGTACAAAAGTACATCCATTTATACAAAGATTTCGCAGAAGTTTGATGGCTGAATTCCTTGGAATGTTGCCAAAGATTCCAAAAGAATACAAAATGTATGTACATCATGACCTACTAGATGACCCAGTGTCAAATGAATTTTTCCACGACGTTTGGAATGCAACTGCTGTTAACAACGGAGAGATTTTTGAGAAGGTGAGGACGTACTTATTTTTTTCATGTTATATATAAACAAATAATTGTTTCATGAAACTCATATCTCCATGTTTAGACTTTAAATTGCCACGTAGCTATAAATATTATTACAAATATAGTGTTTGCAGGATAATGTGGATTCCTGTTTTAATTGAGTAGTATTTTGTTAGAAAGACGAAACGTTATGTTACAAGTGAAGTTATATCCTCAACACAAACAAAAGAGTAAAAAAATGTTACAGCTGAATAAATTCAAACATTTGAACGGAAGTTGACAACATCTGTAAATCTGTTATGCCATATGGTTCTTAATTATTCAGTGGGCTCTTTAGCGAGTTTGTAACTTGACTGCAACAAAATTTGTCAAATACTAGTAGCTTGCTTTCAAAACAAAAGCTATCAAACTAAAAATTGTGCAAACGATGAAAAGCAGTACTTTGTGTTAACGGAACTTCTTAAGGTTTCTTGTAATGTGAAATTATTTTCAATTCTTCTTCAGATATATATATATATATAATCAATAAATGAGAATATTAAATTACACGCCGAATTTTTCTTTTGTTAAAAAAGATAAGAGTCAATGATGCTCAATGTAGAATCTGTAACATCTATGCATACGTTCACGTTGCCATGATTAAATTACCAAAATATACAATTCATTTCTCTAGAAATCTAGAAAATTAGGTAGCCTTGAGGAACTTATTTAATACAAAAATGTATTCTAAACATATTTAAAATATAGAATGACGAATTTCGAAGCGTTTTGTGATCACTTTTTCACTCGTCACTTTCTAATCAACACCACTATGATATTCAATTCCTCAATAATGACCTAATTTTATTGTACAACTAAAGAGCTTTTCATTGGGTATTCGTGCTCATATTACCTAACAAAGCGCGATTCACATTAAATCAATAAATAAATGAGAAACTGTACTAATAAACCAGTGTTAATGAGTATGACGTTCTTGGCAAAATGTAAGTTTGTGTAGTGTTTTAAGAACGGTGGACAATTTACAGGTAATTAGAAGTTGTAATTTTGGAGTCACACTAGTTGATCTATAATTTGTTTTTTCACAAGCCAACAAATTGGATATTCCGTTATAAAACAATATGATGATTTTGTCTATTTTGATTTTTATGAATAGGTTTTTAATTGCATACCTGGCTCAGGGTTGTTAACCTTTCGACAGTGTGCTGAAAGGAGAAATGAAGTTCCATTAATTGTCAGTGATCGTGAACAAGCAATTGAGTTACTTAAAAACGTCAAAGGCTACTTAGTACCATTTTATTCTGATTTCCTTGCAGACGAATCATTAGTATGTCCAGTAGGAAGTATAGAACGAATGATTCCAGAAGTAATTTGGACATAACACTCGGAATACTTTTTCATATTATCAGATAATCTAAAATACTTCTATTATTTTTGTCTTTTTAAAGTGTTCATTTCTTTTAAGAACAATTAATTATCTTATATCAGTTCTTATTTAAACTTTTTGTAACTTTTTTATAGTAATTCAGATTTCATTAACTTTATTTTTGCTAAGTATAACTTTCATACTTTTCTGAAATATTTTAACACGTTTATGTCTTTCTAAACAGTTTGAGAATGAATCCAAACGAAACTTTAAATAACGGTAAAACATAAAGGTTTGATTAATATTTTTACAGTTGTGCAAAAAACTAACTCTCCAAGAACAACTTGAACCGGTGAATACTTTAAAATAGGTTAATTTTGATTTTATCAGAGGTACGGACAGTGGTTATTTACTACTATTATAGAATACTTATAACAAAATGATTAATTATTTAGATATGTTTCAAGTATATTCTTGTTTTCTTTCACAGTATTAAACAAAAATAAATATTACGTACAATGAATGTATTTTTCGACACTGATTTAATTACATAAATTTAAACTTTATTTCTCACTTGTTCCATTTCGACAGTAACAAAATAGGAGTAGACTTGAATTGTAGTATAACTTTCGAACTTAAAGAAATTCAAATTCAAACTTTAATAATTGATTAAAACAGCTTAATTTTATCCAAAATAAAACAATATAATTCACTTGATATTGTTTTACTTGAATCTTCCCATTGATGTTTAGGACTGCAATTGATCAGTCTCTTATTGCCATATGTGCATACTGTGAGTATTGCCTCGATATTGCCTTAATTTACAAGCATTATAAGCAAAGATGGATAGTGGCTAGCAGTGGAATCCAGGACGCGCGTTTCGTCCTCAGTAGCTAAGTGGATAACGCTATGGCGTTTGAAGCGGACGGTACTGGGTTCGAGTCCCAGAGTGAACATCAACTCTGAGATGCAGGTACATCCAGTTGACGAGTCCCAAATAGGACGAGACGCGCGTCCTGGATTCCACTGCTAGCCACTATCCATCTTTGCTTATAAAACAATATAATGTTAAATAATATTACTACCTTTCCGCCTTTTAACAAAACAGATGTAATGAAACGAAGTGAAATGTCTTCTGTTGCATTTCATAAAATTATCTGCAGAAAACAATATGCATTCATTTCGGCGATTTAAACTGAGGGACCATCGAAATCCGGCCCCTGTAAGTTCTCTAGATCTAGCTGAGTGATCTTTCATTTAACTCACAATCAGTTTTCTCGATGGTTGTACCACAAAATTGTGCTGTGTTGTTCAGGTTGTAAACGGACTAGATGACTTCTAGTTTTCCTAAAAACCAGTGTAAAATAGCCCCTTGCGAATCAGATTTATGATAAATGAGAGTCATGCAAGTGTCACAGTAGTTAGCAAGGTAAAAGTAACTGTTTGGTGGAGATAAGGGTTCTCTGATGTTAGTGTGGTTGTAATTAAATGTGGCAATTATACTGTAAATTGAAAAGAGTAGAACATAAATATTTTTCTCCTAGATTATGGTTAGTATTAGGTGAAAGTGATTGGTCACTTATCCAGTCGATTGTAGCTTTTAATCTTAGAATTCGCATGAGCATGTTAACTGAGATCACTGCCCTATGGTCTTCTGAATGAAAATTATGTGCCTTCTTACTGATCTATCGCGCATCACCCTACCATTACAGAACTGTTCTATGTGAACACTACTTTCTAGTATGAAAGAGATTAACTCTGTTAATAAATTACTAGTATTTTCAAGGATATTCAGTATGAATAAGCTTTTAATTCGCATTCCCCTCACCGTCCTACCTGTTGCTTTTTTACTGCCAAATATCAAAGGTTAATTTTTCTATGGAATGATTTCGCCAATCTGTACGTAAAAAAAATAGTTATTCTTCCTTTTGAGGGCTTTATAAAGGCCTTCATAATCTGGAAGCATGCTTCTTCCTAGCTTGTACTTCATAGTGAATTCAAAATCTGCAAATGTGTTTCGCAGAGTTTAAATTCTGTGAGATGAAAGAAAGTGACTACCATGCACTTTTCAATGTGTCCGTTATGATGTGAAAAAATTACTTTACTCATTCAAACTAGTAAGTGACTGTTTATCTACTCACGGTTTGATTTCCTTGAGTATTTGAAATACTTTGCAGAGAATATATCTGTAACCACACTAACAGTTATTTGGATGTTTCATGTACTTGTAAAGTTATGAATACGCAGATTAATCTATTAAACTTGAAGTTGATTATTTAAACACTTCAAACATTTTGCAAGAGTTGGGTTGGCTTTTAACTCTGGATATGATGAGAAACTGTTTGGTCAATAAATGTTTTAATTATGAATATTTCCTAATAACACATTAGCTACTGATGGTTACTACGAATAAAATACTTTTTTCTGTCGTATGAAGAATATGATAGCTTACTAAATGACCTATCATAAAAAACATTTTTTAAACTCTTATTACTGTGGTACAAAGAAAATAAAGTGTAAATGACTCTCGGTCGTCATTCATTAGGCAGATCACTGAGCGTCGAACTGTTAACTGAGTCTTATGAGGGTTAGTAACAACCAGCTCCCATCAAGCGGTTTCACTCCACTTACATGGATATGGGAAATTGGTCCCATTTTTTATTTCTCTTATCTGCTCTTACAAATATGTAGTGACCTACTTTTGTCAACAGAACGCGATTACTTGCTTACTTACGCCTGTTACTCCCAACGGAGCATAGGCCGCCGACCAGCATTCTCCAACCCACTCTGTCCTGGGCCTTCTTTTCTAGTTCCATCCAATTCTTGTTCATTTTTCTCATATCTATCTCCGTTTCTCGGCGTAATGTATTGTTTGGTCTTCCTCTCCTCCTTCGACCTTGAGGATTCCATATGAGGGCTTGTCTTGTGACGCAGTTGGGTGTTTTCCTCAATGTGTGTCCTATCCACTTCCAGCGCTTCTTCCTGATTTCTTCCTCCACTGGGATCTGATTTGTTCTCTCCCACAGTAGGTTGTTACTTATAGTGTCCGGCCAGCGGATCTGAAGTATTTTGCGTAGACAACTGTTAATAAACACCTGTATCTTTTGGACGATGGATTTCGTAGTTTTCCAGGTTTCCGCGCCATACAGTAGAACTGTCTTGACATTTGTATTGAAAATTCTGACTTTGGTGTTGGTTGCTAATTGTTTTGAGTTCCAGATATTCTTCAGTTGTAAATGTGCTGCTCTTGCTTTGCCAATCCGTGCCTTCACATCTGCATCAGATCCACCGTGTTCATCGATGATACTGCCCAAATATGTAAAGGTTTTTACATCTTCCAAAGCTTCTCCGTCAATTGTGATTGGATTGGTGCATGCTGTGTTGTATCGAAGAATCTTGCTTTTCCCTTTGTGTATATTGAGACCTATTGCTGCTGAGGCTGCAGCTACACTGGTTGTCTTCTCCTGCATTTGTTGTTGCGTATGCGATAGAAGAGCCAGATCATCTGCGAAGTCTAGATCATCCAATTGCATCCTAGCTATCCACTGTATCCCGTGCTTACCTTCAGATGTTGATGTCTTCATGATCCAGTCGATCACCAGGAGAAAGAGAAAGGGTGAGAGTAAGCAACCTTGCCTAACACCGGTCTTTACTTCAAACGACTTTGTCAACTGTCTTCCATGCACGATTTTGCAGTTTAATCCATCATAGGAATTCTGTATGATATTGACTATCTTCTGAGGCACGCCGTAGTGTCGAAGAAGCTTCCATAGGGTTGTTCTGTCCACGCTATCAAATGCTTTTTTGTAGTCGATGAAGTTGATATGGAGTGATGAATTCCATTCAATTGATTGTTCCACAATGATCCGTAGAGTTGCGATTTGGTCTGTGCACGATCTATCCTTACGGAATCCTGCCCGTTGTTCTCGAAGTTGGGCGTCTACGGAGTCCTTTATCCTGTTTAACAATACCCTGTTGAAGACTTTTCCTGGTATTGAGAGAAGAGTGATTCCCCTGTAGTTGTCACAGTTGCTGAGATCGCCTTTCTTTGGTATTTTGACTAGAAGTCCTTCTTTCCAGTCTCTCGGTACCTGTTCCTCATCCCAGATCTTTCTGAAGAGAATGTGGAGTATCCTTGCAGTTGCCGCTACGTCTGCTTTCAGTGCCTCTGCTGGAATGCTGTCTAGTCCTGCTGCTTTGCCACTCTTGATTTGTCTGATAGCCATGCTGATCTCTTCAATTGTTGGTGCGCCAACATCAATTGGGAGGTCCGTGAGTGCTGCTTCGATGTTGGGTTGGTTCAGTGGGGCTGGTCGATTCAAGAGTTCTTTGAAGTGTTCTACCCACCTGTTTCGTTGTTCTTCAATGTTGGTGATTATCTTGCCTTCCTTGCTTTTCACTGGTCGTTCTGGTTTACGGTGATTTCCAGAGAGTTTCTTTGTTGTTTCATACAGTTGTCTCATGTTTCCTTCTCTGGCAGCCTTTTCCGCCGTCAATGCCAAATCCTCCACATATTTACGTTTGTCAGTTCTGATGCTCCTTTTCACTTGCTTGTTTACTTCTGTGTATTCAGCCTGTGCCTTGACTTTTTCTGCTCTTGTTCGACTGGTATTGATTGCTGCTTTCTTGTTCCTCCTTTCTTGAATCTTATCCAGTGTATCGACCGTGATCCAATCCTTGTGATGGTGCTTCTTTTGGCCCAGAACCTCATGACATGTTGAAGTGATTGCTTCTTTTATCTCTTTCCAGTTGCTCTCCATAGTAGTTCCTTCTCCATTGAGTAGATCATGTAAGGCTTGGAACTTATTGCTGAGGGTTATCTTGAATTTATTGAGTTTGTCAGTATCCCGAAGAAGAGCCGTATTAAATTTTTGTGATATTGTCCTCCCCGTTGTCCAGTTCCTCTTGAGTTTCAATTTCATCTTAGCGACCAGCAAGTGATGATCTGATGCTATATCAGCTCCTCTCTTTGTTCTCACGTCCTCCATCGTCCTCCTGAACTTTTTGTTGATGCA